ATCCTACATGTAGCTTTGGGCTGTTTATTTTTACTCTAATATTTTCTGTTACTGTGTTGAGGGTATACATTTCCCTGGGGTGTTTAAGTTTACAGGCTGTTCTCCGATATCAGGCCCTCACACCTCCCCATTTCATGCCTTTTTAGAGTTCACATTGTGCAGCTCGTATGGGGCTCCAACGTGTCTGGGTCTCTTTTCAGGCTCATTGGGTAAAACTAACTCCTGAGATCTACATGTAGGAGTCTATCCATGACACACAAGGCATGCACACGATTTGCCTGTGATAAATCATGCCTTCAAACTGCACATACATGTACAGTACCTGTAACCTTTCTATTTGTGCCAATTATTCAAGGGCTGGTCCCATATCACCCAAAACAATAAACAATAATAAATTTATTATAGAGCACATATTGACATGTCAACTGTAAGTTTCTCTAAATACAACTACATGTACAGTGTTTAACTCTAAATCATGTATCTCCCGAGGTTTCGCTGGAAATGGTCCTGGATGTCAGTGTTACTCACTGATTTGTGAACAAACCTTTAGCATTGATTTTCTACGATCCACTACATACATGTAAAATCAAGAAACCGATTATAAAACACCATTATCATTATGGGTGATGAAGAACTAGGCCCTCAGTTTATATCCAGACAAAAGTGCATCAATGCATTCGTCTAACCATGCACTTACATCTACAAACGTTTTTATTGACCTACATGTACCATACTGCAATCGACATGCCCATTTCACTAAGTACGTTTTTACACTAATAGGTCATTTTCAATGATATGCACTTACATGTATTACCAGTGTGCTATGCATGGACAATTGGACATAAGAATAAAACTTGTCCCTCGATCCTCCCCATTCCCATGCAATTAGTTTGGGTCTAATGCTTGCTTCCTGTATACATAGAATATAATTAACATACCTTAGCAGTGGATGATATCTTGTTTGGGATTTAGTTAACAGTGATGTATAGTTTGTTTATGGTAAAAGCCTGGCAGAATGCATTGAGATGGTTGATGCTATCCAGCTGCAGAGAAGGCAAATCAATTCCTTCAGAAGTACATGTACATTTATATTTAGAATGATTTCAAATAGGATGGAGATAGTTTCAGTGTTTGGTATAAGTGGGACATACATGTACTGGAAAAATCACAGTTTGCCTTTAGGGGTATACATGTGTAGATATTGAATTCATAAGTTTCTAAGCATTTAATCTCTTTTAATGAGAAATATATTTAGAGAACATTATATCAAACCAATGGTTTTCAAAATGGTATGGTTAAATTTTAATTTTTTTTTTACATGCTCAATCTTTCTACTACTCGCATCTGCAACAAACACATTTTAATGTGTCTTCTAAATGCTATAAATGGAAATAATGTAGCCATACATACATGTATACAATGTATGTATCGAATATGAAATAGATCTACTGTATAGTGTATCATGTACTTTATGTTTATAATACATGTACATGCAGCATTTAGTTCTATGAAATGTCATTGTGCAGATTGTCATATGATTATTACTATAGACAGATAGCAATTGAATATGTTCTTCGCCAACTCTTTGTTGGTATGCATGGAATGAAGTTACAAATCACAATGCTGAGGAAAACATACATACATGTACAGTACATGTAGAATAGACTGCAGACAGAACATCCTAATACATGTACAGTGTAGGTACAGTGTACAACTTCTGGCCTTATGTCTGTCTGGAATAGGTTGGTATTTTAAGGGGTAATGAATGTTAAGTGGTACAATACATGTACATGTACAGTACATATCTTTCATAAATAAAATGTAGGTAGTTCAAGTGCTAATCAATCAAGACTCAAAGGTTCCACAGACATTCTGTCAGAGATGAATATCTACAGAAAGTAAAAATATCTGCTCATTTCCTTGTAGGCTGCTCATCTCAAATTTCTCTCTTCAAAACATACATGTACCATGGATCCTTGTCTGACTGCAAAAAACTATGGATTTTTGTGAATGAACTGTACATGCTTTATCATTATTACACAAAGTCAAATGGAACATATCTGTGCAACATTATTTAGTTGGTAAATGTTTATGGATGGAATGGAATGATGTCACAAATGAAATCAGCTTAATCCCCTACAAATACAACTCCTGTAGCTACAGTAATGCTAGTGTACATGTACATGTAGCATGTACTGCAGACAGAATACTAATAGATACACCTTGATTTTTTCCTGTATGTCTGTCTGGAATAACCAGGTTTATAATGCATACATACATGTAGGTACAGTGGGGAGAATCTTGTCTGTCCTTCGGCTGTCTCAAGATGCTCTGTTTTTCATCCTTGAGTGATCATCAGATCGTGGTGACAAGCAAGCGTAAGAAATGGGCATTTACATGTGCAGGTGTACCATTTATTTTGTAGGTTACATTTTGGTTTTTTCTTCTCCCTTTTTTTAGATTGAGAAAAGTTTATGCCATGAGTTTGTACTGTCTCAGAATTTACAGAATGGATGTAATTGGAAAATGGAAAAACACATTTCTTAAGCTTTGGAAAGCTTATAACTTGCAAAATGCTCACTAGATACAAACTTGAAAAGTGATATTTTTCAACCTAAAATTGAAGAAGAGCTTCTGATACAGTGTGTACAAAGAAATATCTTACTACACTATAGGCATCCATCAACATGAACATGCAATAACCCAATACTCATATTTGATTTATCGAGCTACAGTATCTCTTGTTCATCCTTGATACCCACATATGGCTAGAGGGATATATGCAATTAATTAAAATAGAGCCTACAGCATAGGTCAGCGCATGTATGGTGTCAGACCTAGTTTTATAGTACGGCTGCCCTCATAGTGGCCTCCTCCTATGGCCACACCATCCTCCAGCATACTATCCTCTAGGGTGTTTCCATGACGATGTCCATCCAGCCATCTTCTTCATCACTATTTTGTGTGAAGTCTCCTACCTTCTGAATCATTACTACCAACTATCCCACCTTCTGCTCTTATTATGCCTCCCAGGATAATACCTTGGGGGATGGGGTTTGCCGTTGAGGAAATGGCTGGCGATATCATACAACTTTGGAATATTAAATCTAGAATACTGAAAACGTATTATATCATATTGCAACAGTGTCTCCAAGTCCACATACATGTGAAAGAGCCCCTGTGATTTTTGCATTATTGTCTTGTGTTATTATTGTGAAATATGTGTAAGAAATGGACTGTTGAAACTCAATTATATTCAGAGAGGGAGGACATAAATATTGATATATTTACCTGTTTTAAATGACTGTTTCAATCCTTTTACAAGTTAAGTTGCCCCTTTTCAGCATTTGTTGTAAAAATACCTTTTATGAATATATGTATGTTTTTTCCATTGTGCATTGAATGATAGAAGTGCCACACAAATCTGGAAATACTAAATGTTTTGATTGCATTTTGCTGTAAAAACCTGCACTTCACAACTGTAGGCTAGATGTTCAATTGAATATCTAGAAGTACATTGTTCATGACATGAATGTTAGTGTACTGAGGGCAATCGTTGAAGCAGGGAGCACTCATTTCTGTATCAAATCAATATGCTAGAGGCAAAATGTATTTGATTGTGCATTTCTGTGCAAGGCGCCTCATTCTTTCTATCTAATAATCACCTAAAATCACATATTTTCTGTCGCCTTTGCTGCCTTAGGTCTACAATCTTGTGAAGTTGGGAGAAATTTGACTAAGCAAACAATATAATAGGATCCCCTTTTCCTCTCTCTGCTCCCAACTTGTTAACCTTTAGCTTTGTGCAAAAGCTTGATGATTTTGAATGATGTTTTATGGAATTTTGATTATCACAATGTAGAGGGAGATGCGTATGGTTTTAGCTTGAAATGCCAATTTTAACTTAATGTTTTTAGGTACAGTGAAGATTTGTCTCTTCAGAAGATAAACCTTTAAAAAAAAAGGAACAGAAGAAGAAAAAAAAAATTACACTTTTTTTTTCTTCTTCTTTAATGTATTTTTATGAACAATAATGATACCAAGCACTTAATACGCCTCTGTAAATTATGAACCCCTCTGTAAATTATAAACCCTGGATCTGCATTGTATTTCCATGGTACATGAAGGTTTGATTGCTTTCGCATGCAATCTATTTCTGAAATTAAATTGGCTGATGTGCACTAATTATCAACATTCACTCACCATTTGCAGACAGCCAATGAAATAACCTGTCATATTAGAGTGTGAAATAAACAACCCGCCCCCTCTATCTGTCACTAATTGATTCTCTGCGTCTGTTTATGTGCGACTGACTCTCTTGTTTACTGATAACCTTGTATCAAACAATAACTCTGCTCAGGCATAATATGCATTGCAGTGCTCACAGAATAGTTTAACATATATTAAAAACTGTAAACAAGGACACATTGAATGGGAGACCTTGATCAAAAGTAGGAAAAGGTGAAATATGTGTATGGCTTGTATTGTAAATGCAGCCGTGCAAATAATAATAATAATAATAGTGGGTTCTTGTATAGCGCTCATGTCAGTCAGATTTGACCCTCCTGGCGCTCCCGATTATTACCCTGGCTTTAGCACGGCTGCCATACGGCGCTCTAGCATTTCAAGGAATAAATTCCTACCAGGTACCCATTTACTTCACCTTTACATAGACTCAATGATTTCAGTTACAATACAATGTAGATCTACTGACTGCACAGATTATACACTCAGCTTAGTAAACTGTTTTGCAATATAATAGTAAATAACTAACACAAAAAAGAATCTACATCTAGAAAGAAAGTTATTTTCTTAATGAATGTTTAATAATCATATAACCAGAAATCGTATACATCATGTAAACAGAACAAGCAATTATAATACATATTCGTATGTCCTTGTATTATATCTATCTGCACTTAGAAGCCATTATTTTGTTCAAGATATTGATGATCAAGTTCTATCAATGTTGTTTTCCTCTCTCTCTTACATTCTATCAGGCTGTATACATCACCAATCAAGCCTGCGAGTCCAGAACAGAAGTGTGTTAGTCCCTATGACTGGATCAGACAAGACTTTGAACATCCTACCAGAGATCAGGAGTCTGCTAAGAAATGTCTGCTTGCTAAGCTGGATGAAGTCTCAAGAGGTAGAGTATCTACTTAAATGCATTAATATAAATTTGCCACTCTACACCCTTTGATCGCCCTTTGGGATATATATGTTCATTCATGTAGTTGTTATTATCATATTGTTGAATGAATTTGTAATCATTACCTAGCTCAATTTCAGAAATATTTCCCAATCATACAATACATTTACATCATGTATGCATCATCATATTGTGATCAATTAAACATTACCCGCCTATGCTGAGTAGTTCAGTATAATGGGATGAATCTGGCCGAATTGGCAATCAAATACAAACATTAATAACATTGGTATAATTACAGCATAATTTCTCCTTATTAATTGGACACAATCTCATCTTAATTGGGAAATGAATAAAATTGCGTTGGTAAATATTGCAATTTTGTCACAAATAGTCTTTGAATTAAAAATAAAAGGTTGAATTTCTTGCTAAATTAATGACATTGGTACATGGACAAATATATTGATTGTTACAAGCTTTGCATGCATGTACAGCCATTTAATATCCATTTAGGTCAACTCACGGACAGCCATTGGATGTACATGTAGGTCATTTACACTGTACATAACTATTTCAGAGACAAATCTCATTAGATTGGATACACATCATCAAATAAAAAAAATTATACACAAGGGAATCATATTCTATTTCCTCCATACCGGTGGTGAATATATCAAGTTCTCTCTTCCTTCTTGTTCTCACACTACACTGTACATACATGTATATATTTCATTACAGGGATGAACAAGATTTAAGTCAGAACAGGAAGGCTAGTAGTGTGCACTTTCTTTGAAATTTGAAACCACTACGATGTGATACATGTACATGAGGTTTTCCATGAACCTTTAACTGTTGTAAATCATGTATGAACTGCATGCTGTAGACTGTATGTAGTCTAATTATCACCACACAGAGACAAGCAGAATAATAAACATTTCCTGGTTGAGACTTTTACATTGAAAAAACAAGACTCATAACAAAACCACAGCCACTGTCTGGACCAGACTATCAGTGTAGATAAGCATCACATGTACAGTATGTGAATTCAAGAATGCAACGTAAAAGAAATTAGGCCAGGGGGGGGGGGGGGGGGTACAGGAGTTGAAGCAAGAGTTAAAGAGAAAAATAATAAGGTTTCATACAGGTATGGGAAGAGTGAGGAAAACAGGGAAAGACAGAGAAGGGAAGAGTAAAAGAGAAAAATACTTGAAGAGAGAGGAAGGAAGAGTGGTAGAAAGACTTAGAAAGGGAGAGAGAGAGGGACCCGTGGAGAGAGAAGCGACAGACAGAGAGAAAGACATACAGACAGAGCCAGAGGAAGCAAGGAAAATGGAAGAGGGCAGGGTGATTGGCAGGTTGTGATGGGGACGGAAGAAGACCCACAAAATGTTTCATTTTCTTAATGGTCTTGGCTTATCCATGAATACAACTCTCAAGGGATGTTTCAACCATCTGGGAAAATAAGTCTTGATGGATGGATTGATTGATTGGGATTGGGAATATGACACATGTAGCCATTTATTTGATGGGTCATCAGGATTGTTCAGTGAATTCATTAAAATCATTTGTTCAGCAGGCAATTAGTAAATTGATGAAGCAAGAGTTGAAGTGAAAAATAGGGATTGATCATTGATATGGATACGGAAAGAGTGAGAATGACAGAAAGAAAGAGGGAGGGGGCAGCAAAATTATTTCAATTTTGCCCTTCTTTAGAGTGAACATATACATGTATAGTGCATGTACAGTACATTTATGTATTTTGAAGAAATGTCAAAAGTGTTATGAGCTAGTTTGGTGCATTCTAAAGGAAATGTCATTAGGATGTTACCAATGAACATAATGTGACATACCAGATCATGAACATTCAGACTAGTCCATTAATTGAAGGGCGTTAATCAGTCTAGTCCTGTTTAATTACCTGCCAGTGGGAATGTAAGACTTGCACATGTAGTTGTTATGATTGGAAAATGTACCGGTAGTCAAAGACTAGGTTTCCATTTTCCAACACTGATCCTTAACTCCTAAATCTACATGTATATACACATAGATGAAATACTTGTGTGACATTTGTTTTCTCATTTCAACATGGTATTAGTTTTTCATAGAAATGGCTTATGAAATTAGAAGTGAAAGTATAATGTGGCTATGTACAGTATGTTCAGTCAAATGTACTTAAGAGTGATTACTTTGATTTATCTTTCCCCCTAGCCTGGCCTTCATTTGTATAATATAAGGAGTTGAATTCATCACATGAGCAATCAGACATTTATGTATGCCCTTTATAGTAGTATTTTACATGTATATCTTCTTCTTCACAAAGTGATCCGTTTCTTATTCATATTCAATGAAAATTCTAACTGAACACTCATTTTCACTTCAATCTCATTACAGCTAACAGAAATAGCATGGGACCCAGTGTGATGGCATTGCAACAACCTCAAATTCCAAACCAAGGCAATGCTGATCCACTCAGAGGAATAGGTAATGTATAAACACAGCTCTCTAGAAGGTGTATCATCCTTGTATGAAGCAGGGTTGGGCGGTAAATACCGGTGGCGGTAATTACCGGCGGTAAATACCGGTAAATACCGTCCGGTATTAGATGCGCGTCCGGTAAATATGTAAAAAACAGGAAATATGAGTTTAATTCTCTATTTATTAATAATTTTACTTGTTTTTAGCCTCATAACTGAAAATATTGTTCTGAAATAATTAGCAGCATAATACTTTATAGTAGGAACACACAAACAGATTTATAAAATCTTCACTGCACAAAAAATGTACACACCCAAACAAATGGCATTTTGTGCATATGCTAATTAATAGGTATTCATGAATATGGTAATTAGCAACTGGGAACCAAAACTTTCATACAAGTTACTTTTATTGTAAAGTTTTAGATATTTGAATAAAATCATTGTAGACAACTCTCCATGCTTTTTGTACATCAAATTTCATGTTTTTCCTTCTTTCTTGTGATTGAGATTTAATAGAATGCAAAATGATATTCTACTTCACATGTTATGAAATCCGATCAAGAACACAAATAAATAGGTAAAAAACGAAAGACTTGTGAAATTTGATGTACAAAAGGCATGGAGAGTTGTCCACAGATGAGATCATCAAACTGAATATCGCCCTCTAGTGACTAGTCATTTTAAAAAGCTTTAACTTCCTTATTCCTTGCCCGATTTTGTTCAATTTTTCACTGATTTTATTCAAATATCTTAAATTTTACAATAAAAGTAACTTAGTATGAAGGTTTTGGTTCCCTTTAATGAAGAACATCATATCTAGATTAGGTGTATATTTGGTATCTTTTTCCTGTATTTTTTTCCAGCATTACATAATTACAGACGTAGACAAACACACAAACAAACATACACACACACACAAATAGTACACACAAGAGCAACCATACTCACCACCATTGTTATTATGTTAAAAATTGGACAATCCCTATGAACAAGTGAGTGGAAAAATATATTTCCCGGTATTTCCCGGTAAAAAGCGGTAAATACCGGTAAATATCGCTTATTTCCCGGCGTCCGGGAAATAAGCCTCCGAAGCGGGAAATATGCCAACCCTGGTATGAAGTTTCACCCGGGAGTTTCCTCAATTGTTTGTTTGTTTCTTTCTTTGAATGGAAAGGGAAATGTGATATATTAACCTATCAGAGGGCTTGTTTCAATGTTTTTTTGTACCATAATATTATAACATTCTTGAGACTTTCAATATCAATTTGCTTAATACATGTACCATGTAGGAGGGATCTGCGATATAAAAAGTTGTTTCCATAGTACCATTGTCTTTGTACTGTTATATAATTGTGCCATATCAAAAAGAAACCTAAATTGTGCATTAATACAATAGGTAATAGTTGCAGAATCAAATGTAGTCATGTACATTCATTATTTCATTTCTTTTATCATACCTTTCATATAGAAACATTGAAATATGCTTAATTGTAATTTTTGTCTCCTTCCTTTGTTAGATAAACTTGAAACATCTCCAAGGAGTCAATCACCACCCCCATCACAAACCCAGAGGAGAAGGACAAGTAAAGAAGAGAGGATGGGATTAGCTAAGCTTGAAGATGTGACTGATGTGCAGATACTAGCGAGGATGCAGGAAGAGAGTAAGAATTGTTGTCTGTTTGTTTGTATGTCTCTCTGTCTGTTTGTATGTTTGTTTGTCCACAACCCTAAAGGAGAATGTAACTTGAGTAAAGAAGAGAGGATGGGATTAGCTAAGCTGGAAGATGTGACTGATGTTCAGATACTAGCTAGAATGCAGGAAGGTAGTAAGACACTTTGTCTGTTTGTCTTTTTGTATGTGTGTGTTTGTTTGTCTGTCTACCTGTCCATCACAATCTCAGAGGAGAAATAGAATGGAATTAGCTAAGCTTGCAGATGGGACTGAAACTGGCTAGGATACAGGGAGAAAGTAAGACTATTTATTTGTTGTCCGTCTGTCTAACGTTGGGAATTTAAAAAAAGATTATAATCTTGAGCTTTTATGATGTGGTCACCAAAGATGACGATTATTCAAAACCTACAGGTAAAATCCTTACCTAAATAAACATTGAAAATTGTATTTCAGATCATGGTATTATTTTGTTTATCTTTTGAGAGCCAAAAACAGGGAAAGTTATATCATAGACGTAATTACGTCTATGGTTATATTGCATATGCATGTAGTGTTGACAGCCTTCAGATAATGAATTCTTGATATGCAGCATATAGACAGGAGATGGATATGCTACTCTTTGTTAGTGTTCAGACAAAAATCAAATTTGTCAGTGTCAACTGTTGTATGTTAAAAATAGTACAATTGGAGAGGGTGAGAGGGTTCAAGATTGTTTTTCAGGAAAGGATTTTCATCTTCAACAAGCTATGCGCTTACTTGAGACCTTGTATGGTTCCTATGTATATTGACAAGGTCTGTGAAGGTTTTGAAGCAGGCCTAGAGAGTAAGTGCAGCGTTCTAATTCTTAATTACCCTCCTGCTACGACCACCTGTGACCACAAGAGGGAGTTGCAGGTATCAAGTGTCAACGATCTAAATTAGGTTTGCTGGATCATCCATAAAAACACTCCACTGGTCTATGTATCCAGCCTAGTGTTTGTCAACTTGAAAATGACCTGTTCACGCTTTTGATTTCTTAATGCTTGGTTTAGGTATGAAGGGGGTCACTTAGACTCTCTTGGGATGTGAAGGGGCCTCATTGAAAACAGTAGAGAACAATGCAATAGTCGACATGTATATTTTCAATCCTAGTTTGTCAACTTGGGAATGACTTGTTCACAGCCAGTGGTTCAGTTCACACTTGCTTTCATAATAAAAAGGGTCACACTGTTATGAAAGAGGTCATGCTCTTTAAACAACTTTATACAGCATGGCGGATAAATAAAGTATTCCATCTTGCTAGTCCTGGTTTGTGAATTTTGTAAAGATTGGTTTACGGTCAGTGATTTCTTAACACTTGCTTTCAGTATGAGAGGTTAAGACAGCCCCTGTATGCCAAGAGGTTGCTTGTTCTTTATAATGATGTCTAGGGAATCAGCAATATATTTTTGTGGAGTTAGATGTATGGAAACTAGGTCAACCTCACAAAATATTGTGTTCAAGTATGAGGTGTACAACAGTGCATGTACAGGGAAGAGGCATAAGCTATTTGTGTACTCAGTTTAGAAAATACATTTAAATGATAATCAGGTACATGTGGCAAGGCTTTACAGTCAAACAGATGTTTCTGGTTTACCATATTATTTTCGTTCACCATATTTCTTTTGTTGCAATATTACTGTTACCGGTATTCAAATTTTCTCAGAAACATAAAGAAGCCTTCATATTTCAGTATCAATAATCTATTGAGCCAGCAAGTTAAAATGGTATTTGGGTAAGCCTTTCATCAACTCATCAATTGGGTGTCCCAATTATTTGTAGGCTTGGAACAACATACTACTGCGTAGCTCCAAAATTCTAATTAAAATGTCCCTTTTTCACCCTTTTCCTGTTACAGGTTTACGACAAGCGATGAACAGTTCTCCTGCCAACTCTCCTAGAAGAATAACAGTCTCCCCTGCCTCGTCAGAAAACGCCCTCCACAGATCGGCCTCTCGTAGCTCAAGCGTTAGCAGCACGGAGGGAAAGAGTGAGGATGGCGAGGAGGGTCAAAGGTCAAATGTAGTCAGGAGGAGACCTTCATTTGAGAGGATACGGAAAGCAGGAGAAGGTAACATTGGTATTCAAATTTACTTGAAAAAAACATTCTCCATGCTAATATGTTTAAAAAGTGAACATCATTCATATTCAAAATTAAAACAAAAAGCAAAACAATGAAGAACAGGTACAGCCTTGCAAAGCTCTTCTCTTCCTGCTAAATAAAATGAAAACAATTATTATGAAATAACTATCCCTAAAAAATATCACCTGAAAGCTAGAGAATTAAAAATCTGCTTCTGCCACCTTGATGAATTTGTATGTATGAATATCTAGTGTCTCTACATCTGCAGAAAGATGTTATTTGATGCCCTTAGTTTGCATATGTTGCCATGGATACTTACAGTTTTCAACATGGAATTTAACTACTAATTTTCAATTTTTAACCATAAAACTCTAATTAATGTTTGAGTGGGAATGCCTTTTGTATGATTGGATCTCTGTGTGATATGGCAAGTAGTGTAGTCAAGTTGGATGGTTAATGGTTTGTAAATGGTCGTACCCTCCCTTTATGTCCTGTGGTGAAAGATATTTCAAATTAGTTTGATTTTAGAGCTGGACATCGGTTATAAACAAAAGATTATATCCAAGGTGAAATTAATTAAGAAATGATTTGTCCTCCAAAATGCACCCCAGAATTCATATTCTTCATATTTCTATTGGAGATGAATTCTAGTTGACATTAAGAAAAATTTTACTGGAATATTTAATCATGTGAGCCTAATTATGTAGTTGATGTTATACATACAGGTGTAATATATAATCATGGCTTTTAGAAGAAAACCGCAACTTTCAAGATTTCTATAAATCTTTGCTTCATAATTACTATAGAATACCAGCTTTGCTTTATCCTAACAGTGCAGTTAAAATGCAATTATGTATTAAAGTTACCATTATAAACATGCATTGAAATATTATTTTCTAATCAACAATTCTTGCCCATTGCATCAATAAAAATAAATCTTCAAATCTAGAAATAAACAGAGCATACATATTGTTGACTACCTTGTAATACTACTTTTTAACCTTTGATACATAGTCTGCTTTACTAAGCAAGAAATTAAGATTGTTACCCCTTCCAAGATCCTACCTGACACCAATATACATGTATCTGAATGATTCCACCCCTCCTCCCCTCCTCACCCCTCTTCCAACCCCCACCCCTCTTCCAACCCCCCACCCCTCTTCCAACCCCCCACCCCACTCCCTCCTCACAACATGCACCTATTGATGACCAGGAGGAAGAAGAGATGGTTTATATAGAAACAATCCAGATTACAGACCGGAAGATATGGAAGAATGGGAGTACTCCAGACCCGTGATTGGTAGACGATTGTCTCAGGAGAAGATTCGACGACCAAGCGGTGAAGGTAGAAAGGAATGAAATGTTCACCTGCCGTGTGTGTGTCTTGCATACCTCCCTCCTTTCCATTCCCTTTTGCGTACCTGAATGTAGCTGTTCCTAAATTCTTGTAGATTGTGTTCTTGCTTTGTAATGACACTATTTTATAGCTTTACATCTCTAAATGTTGCATGTATTTCTGTAATGATTTGTTTGATACTTTTATGCATATTTGTGTCAACTGGTTTGCTGTGGTTTTGCTGTTATTAGTAGAATAGTCCCAACTATGTGAGTGTTTTGAATTAAATTGAATACATTATTATCTTAAAAGCTGACTGATTGTAAAAGATTGTGTCAACCTATCTTTAGTGCATGAATTCAGAAGTAAATGTACAAAGTTATTATTTCATGATAATATTAGTTTTATTTATCCATTTTACATATATGTAATCTTTCTAAAGTCTAAAACACATAGAATGTCACCCCTTTGCACTTCGAAGATGTGTGGATTTCGCAAACCAAGTTGATTCTACAATTTCATAATGACACATACAATGTTTATAGGCTTCTGTGATGCAGATTAGTTTTAGTTTTGATTTTATTTATTAACACATGCACTGTATGCTGAAAGCTTTTCAGTTGTCTGATAAATTTCCCATAGTAATAAGATTGTGCCAATGTTGTCTGTCTTGCTTATGAACTAGATACTCTCAGAATTCTTTTGCTCTACTTTCTAGTATTGGTGATGTTAGATATTGATTTGCATGGTATGTTTCTGCTTCATATGCACAATCTATTACCTTCATTGGTTGTGCTCACCTACAGTTGGCATTTGCACCTATTTTGATAGAGCTTTGTTCAGTCTGAAATTCATGTAGGCAAAAAGGAAGCAAAGTAATAAACAAGCACAAATGAATTGTGATGCTGTGATGTGCTAAGTAGATTTAAAAAGTATAAATGTTTTATTTAAAAGGTAAGTTCCATAAACTGTATGTTTCATAGACGGGTATGATCCTATACATCTTACACTGGACAATTTTATTTCATGATGTGAATACATGTAACTTATCTGTCATCCACATTGTAGTATATCAATTTCTTCTAGAGAGGGAAAGAGTAAAAGTGAACATGAAAATGTTAGAATTGAAAAAAGAAGAATATTTTGGTTAAATCAGTATTTGTTTATATCAGTATTTGTTTATATTTTTAAGTTGAAGCACCTACATGTACATTCATCAATAGTTCCATAATGAATTCCTGAATTCATTCCAATATGAACATGAATTGTAGAGTAGACTGTCCCCCACAATGTATCATACACTAACAGTAGCAACATGTATGTTACTATGGATATGTGATCGTGAATCATGATAATATTGTGTACTGTTTCATAGCAACCCTTCAAATAGTAATCTGTCTGTTTGGAGATCTCAGAAGAAGGGGTTTGTTGTCAACGTCCATCCATCCTTCCTGAAATAATTATTAGAGAAAGATCACTGAAATTTATTATAAATAAATGACGAATTAGCTAGAGATTTATACGTGCTACACTCCAAAATGGAAAATTTAAATAATGAAAAAGGAATGGAATTATACACAATCTAATGAATTGTTATGAAGAATAATAACATTGAGAAAAAAAGACTGATGAAGAATTAAGAAATCTCCCTTTTTTGCATTTGTGTTGGCATGAACAAGTGAGAATGAGTATGAATTTCTGTGGTAAACCTCACTCAAACATCCATAGCCTTATTATTCATGCCAGCTAAAAGATAAACACTGCCATGTTTCCCTCTCAATTCAATTTATTTTAATTCAATTTTGTCACATCTTGTTCTCCCTGACTTCCTGGAGAAGTTTCAACTCCCCTTGCTTGTGGGTTTATCTAGAAATGGACGTCTCAGAGTAGCTGTAGTTTGCTGAAAACTCTTTAAAATTATCATAAAAGATAGAAAACAAATATTTGTTCACAGAAGCTTTATATTTCTTTTCTGCAGAAGTGGTGAGACTTTCAGAAGAAGTTTTGTAATATCAATTGGTTCACACTTGCTTGATATTTCAAGAGCCCTTGTCATATAAAAGATCTTATTTTTAAGCCTTCTAGAGCAAAACCAAGCTTAGTTCTCTTGTATTGTACTTACTTATGAGCAAAACTTATTCATAATCTTTTCTTGTTTGACTACCTATTCAGGTAACGAAAGGAAAGAGTTATCACCGCGAGGACCCCCAGATGGTCGGAATGGTGATGCTAAACACAACGCTGTCAACAGACTCAGAGGAACAGATGGTAAGATTTTTTACTTTCACTTCTTCCCAATCAAATTTTTATCTTATCATACACATGTAATAGGTAGAGGGAAGGTTTAGCATTGCTGTATAGCATCATCTATGTATAATGTAGCTCAGGTATCTAATATTTGGTTTGAATTATTGATATGAATTATCTATTGGGTATGCTAAATGTGTGCATGTTGTGGGTTGTGGTGAACATTTTATCTTTCTCCTTGCCATTTTATATTTTAATCAGCTTTTAGGATCATGGAGTTTCCCCTCCCTTTTGTTATGTGTGCTGCTGCTTACATTTGAATATGTGTTCTGTCCTGAGGCCTTGGAATTTCTGTATAGAAATGGGTTCCCATGCATTGTAAATTTGATTCCATTTGTGGGGGAAAATACTTTTCTTACTACTTTTGGACTTGAACTTTCATGACTGCTGAATAAAATCTAATTTCAACTACAAAAGTGAAAGAAAGCTGAGTTATGATTACTGGAGGGATAATAGCAAAAGCAAATGTCAAGATACTTACAGGCCCTAACTGATTAGAAAATTCAAAGGAACAAAATTCTCACTTTGTAAGTTATGAAGTGTTTGTAATTGGAGAGACTTGGCAGCTTTTAAACTTTTCATCATTAATCTTAATGTCCTATTTCAAAATAATCTGAACATTAGATTACACCAAACAATGAACTTTACTTTAGCTTTGAGCTATATTGAGCATCACATTTAAGCTCTGAGACTTGCTGTTATGTAGGAGATCAAACTATCGCATTAAAGGTTTAAAAACTTTTCGTCAGGAGTAATCTCTAGCTAATACCTCATTCCTTTCAATGTGCCTCCCTATACCTGTACACTTTAACATGCCTCTTGTGTGTTGTGGTCTGTCTCTCTCTCTGCTAATGTCGCGTCCTGTTTATGATATTCCTCCCTTACTGAGTGATCCAAATGTTTCCTTGGTTAATTACTCATCTGTCCACATAAAAAAAGAAACCCAGCCATGTTTGCTGTTTGTGTGCTGTTTTCAACATTCATGAATTATTGCAGTGATAACTTTAATACTGAAAGAATTGAAAGAAAAATGTATTTTGGATTCCTAGATTTGAAAGAAGCGGAACTCATTCAATCAATATTCACCCGTGTTAGATCACAATGATGAGAATTTTGGTTTCACCTGAATTGCCTTTTAAGGTACATGTACTTTAATCAAGGTACATGATGATTAGTAAGTGGGTGTATTCATTAGGGAGTGTCTGATAAGTTGAATTCTTGGCATCATTCTTCTACTTTCTCAGTAATTTTTGATGTTCTCTTACAAAACGTGGTTAACCAAAAGCTCTTGACAATTTAGAACAAAATTGTGAAAAAAATAAAGTTATGAATGAAACAAAGAAAGTGTGATGATTGAAGATGAAAAACCAAAATTGAAAAAGATTTTATTATTTGATAGGATAGGAAAAGGAGAAAACATCAGGTTTGTTTTATTTCTAGAATTGACATAATTTTGAGGTCATCTGAAAGTTTAATAGGTAAAACAATCAATCAGTATCCAATTAATGATCTTAATCTGGGATACATTGCCAGGCATGAATGGAAAAAGTTATATTGTAGACTTTCATAATCTAATAATGTGTGTTTTATCATAATTAGTATTAGATTTCATTGTTATTGCGAGCAGTATTTATCTGTATTTAGCTTTTGCTTTTGTATAATACATGTATAACTTGAGTTGACATTTAGTATATAGAATCGTCATATTCATTCTTGCACGTTGTAATCCTATAGTTTTTATTTGTTGCATCGTCTATTATCCCCATGTGTGTGTGTCCTGCGTGTGTGTACTGTAGAACACTCCAAGATTAATGGTCTACATAGGAGACACCACGATGCACGAAATGGGGAGCTTAAAGCACCCTCTAAAAAGGTTATCGTCAGACGAAGTCCGTCGCTTGAAAGTCCTCAGAGAAGACAACAGAAAGGTAGCTAGCTTGTTCACCACTAACTCAGTAACTAAACTTGGCACTAACATGTTGCTATCGTAACACTTCTTTACTAATTGATTAAAAAAAAAGCCTTTGCAATCTTTCTGAAATATCTTTAATGTGGTGGTATTAAAGCTAAAAAAATGTAATCTTTCCGTAAAATGTAGGAAGCAGACGTCAACTAGGAAGACCCACGGTAAATTCAAAGAAAGCTACTCAAGGTATCACCAGTTTCTCTCTTTTATTCAGCATATATTCATTCAACCCAGAATGCAGCAAATCAGATTGCAGTCAATCAGCATATTGCAGTCATATCATCACCTTTTTGTTTCTTATATATCAGAGATTTAGTTCAATGCGTTTGGATTCTCCTATGATTTCTTCTAATATTTGATACCATTGTGACAGTTAGCTAACTTGTCAAACATGCAAGCTACTGACTCTAACATTGATCATGCAAAGATTTATCATCATCATACATATCATTAAATAAATACACAAGGAAGAAAGAACATTAATAAAAGGAGAGGTATTTCACTCAATAAATGATATATTTATGCTTAGTCTACTTTCAAAACATATCAGAAGACATTTCTTTTCCTTCTTTAATTTGGATTTTGATCATGTATATAATACATTATATTAAAATGCATACAACATTACACTTTTTTTTTTAATGTACATCTACATAGAGAGAATTGGAAGGGTGCAGAAATTATCTCAAAGAGTTCAAGGCTATATTGCATCACCCTTCTTAAGAGACCTCTTTAGGCACCCCGTTGTTCCACACATTCTTACTATTCCTGGCTTCAAGATAGCTGATATTGGATAGGAGAGAATGATGTCTCATACACTAGAATCAAATTTTGGCACCAATCATCTGCTTTATTCACAGGATATTATCTGACCTTTAGATTCAATATATGTGCTTAGTTACAGAACGATACAAACCAAGCTTTTACTGTACAGTAGGTGACCTTTCAAATATGTCTACATTCTTGTACTACCTGGCTTGAGAGACTAGCATATAGTTATCATAATTTACAAATTATACAAACCAATTATTCTCTGTACAGTAGATGACCTTTTCATGTGCTTTTAAAGTCTTATTTTATCTGGGTTGAGAGACTGGAGCACTGTTATCATAAGTTTGCATTCTAGTAGTAAGATTCACAGCCTTGACATGTGCAAACAGCAATGATTGAAAAGAAAACTGATAATAAAATTTGGTCCTCAACAATCATTTACAAAGTGATGTATCATGTTATTGCTTGATTTATTTTAGGGTTTCATCCCTCGCATGTAAGGTTTTCAATTCTAAAATAACTTCTTACAGTGTGTAGGTTCTTTCACTTAATGGAATATGATTGATAAGTATCCTTGAAAGTATAGATTTGATATAGACTTATTATAAAGATAGCAAGAAAGATATAATGGGGGAGAGGGAAAGATTCTGGTTTAAATAAGCTTGTGTTACCGGTAATTTACTTATATGGCATTTATGACAATTTGTAATGATAATCGTTCATGATAACCTTGAAGGTGTAAATGTATACATGTTACACTGTATCTTGAAGACATACAGAATTGCAGATATTCAGCAGGTTATTGCAATGAAACAAAACTTACAGGTGTTTAATTAAGCTAGCACACTAAATTACACCCTCTTTACCAAGACGATGGCCTGGCGTGACTGCTAATGACAAATTCTAATTACATTGGCCATATGTCGGGTGTCTCTCTGTGACGTAATTGATAGGGGTAACTAACCAGAAGTCCTTCATTATAATTGGGTAATAGTTATCACACTTGTAGTGGTTCCATCTTGACCCAAACTTGTGAAATATCGGACTGCTGCCAGGCAACTGCTCATGTCATCTGCCAGGCTATTTTTTTTTATCATAATCATCATAATGATAATAATATGTCTTGTTTACCCAGGGTAGCCTCATCAGTATTCATACTGTTCTCTTTGAGGGCCCTACAATCATATCATTACATCACATCATTATGGTTAATCTTTGATGGGTAGTGGTTTAGGAAATATGTGTACATGTAGCTCCATGACATCTTCTCTCCCTCCTACCTTGCATACATCCATATACACCACGCAACATAATATAGAAGGTTCTTAGCTCTTTCATACCTTAGTCACACCCCCGAACCGACTCTGCACAGAATCCAAACTGATTAATTTTGGACCATCAGTGGGAATATAATTGTTTGATCAATCTGGTGTCAGTCTGATGTGTGTGACTGAGGTATTACTACATGAACAGGGGAGTGTTCACAAAGACTAAGATCAACTTTAAGTTGGACTTAAATATGGTAGGCCATTCATGCCACTAATTGCTGTCACCATTATGATCTTTACATAATATTTTTTCCTTCAATAATCAATTATCAAAAAATGTAAACTCTGGAGATTTGTGACCACGAGTTGTAAGCCCTTGAAAGACTAATGCCAGTAAATGATAAGAGCAACCAGTGGCATGAATGACCTGCTATAGTTAAGTCCAACTTAAAGTCGATCTTAGTCTTTGTGAACCACTCCCCTGATGTAGTAGCTTTAAATTTCACCTGTATGTAGGTAATGAGTACATGGAGGTAATCTTTGGTTAGAAGGCCATAGTTAAGTCATCCCCACCCATACAGGAAGCTGTGGTAGCATCTACCCACTGTCTGACCTAATTCACCCTCACCATCAACCCAACATGCTGTCATGAACCCAACACAAACACATTGTTGCTCATTCTCTTCATACATACATTAAATTTAAAGGCAATCTCCATCTATTGAAACTACATTTTTGTGTGAAATTGTCCAAAGCTCATTGTAAATAGTGGATCGCAAGAAAAATGTGGAATAGTTTGAACCAGAAAGACTTTAAGAGGAAGTCAACTTTTATTTAGTGCATTAACCCCATTTGGGTTTCCATGAAAGACAATAGATTTATGTCAACCTTATTTCCGTGCAAACTATTTAAATCATTGATGATAGTACTAATGGATAGAACATTGGACTTCACGTTACGTCTGTCTACATGTATGTGGGTGCATGGCACTTTTTTTCCTGTCTCAATCGTAAATCTTTTGTAAATTTCACAGAAAATTGCTTTGACATAATATTTGTTCTTTTAAATTGTATATTGCGCAAAATTAATATGCAGCTTTATGTTTTTCAAAATTAAATGTGCATGCTCTGAATAATTGTCAATATATTTTTGAAACTGAAGGAATAAATCTCACAAAAAAATAATGCAAATGCCTAATTTTCAAGGGAAGATGTAGAAAGAGTATTATGTTACCAACAAAAGATGTAAATGTATATGTGATACCAACAATTTTAGTTTTTAGATACTACAAATACTTTGGAAATCTGTTTAAAAAATTAAGTCTTGTATCAGTAGATGACTTTTTAGGGATGCTTTAACACATTCAATCATTCCTGCTTTTATAGTCATTAAATTCTCAGGCTTAATTAATCATTAGCAGCACTCTTTATTTTCTATTCTTCACTTTCTGTTTCTAATTTAAACTTCTATTTCTTGTTCTCTTTCCTTGTTTCCCCCTTCTTTCTTCCGTCTTTTATGAAGTGCACTGTATATAGGAAAGATTCAAATGGTTATAAACACATAATAGCTAACTCATATAATGATCACATACATACATGTACACAATTTCATTCCCTCGTTTTACCCTCACAGCAAGCAGCCAGTTCATCATCATTGAAATGATCACCTTTGCTAATCAACATGAATCTTCTTTCTCTCCATACCTTCCTTACTCTTACCCACTTCATCTTCTATAAACGCTTTTTATATTACATATTTGGTTTTAATTGAGTTATACTTTCATTTCATTTTCATTCATTCATTCCTTTTTGATTTCACCCCTTTCATTTGTTTTGATTTTTGGTGTTGGTTTGATATTAATCACCACTTAACCCACCATCACCCTGTCACATGCTGTGACCTTTGACCTTTGACCCTTCACCTTTAACCTCACTCCATCCATCCATCCATGCAGAGGATAGGCGTAGATATAGTTTTAGTCCTGGTGCGGCCAGGCAAGCCTTGAATCAAATGCTTAACGCTGAAGATGATGAGATACAAGATGATGAGGGAGATGAAAGTCTTGACATCATGGCTGAACTCCAAAGACCTACTAATTTCTTTGGTAAGTCCCTTCTCACGCAGCAGCAAAAAACAGCTTGGAGGCGGTCACCATGGCGATCAAACACTGCATCGTTTCAACCTAGATAAAAGAACAATTCCCTGTTAATTAATACTCATTCATGTGTGCATTTTGGTCTTTTTTCCTGTTTGAATACCTAACTACATGTACCTGTATATATAACAATCTTGCATTTACCTGTGTGAATTTATAGCTAATGTACTCTATGTAAGGGGGTGACAGAGACTAGGCACTTGAATGTCTAAATAGAATAGCATATGTTATCCCCCTAATGTATTGCATATATTCCTTATTTTGTTTAATGTACTGGACTTCTCATCCCTCAATTCTTAATAATTATTACTAAAGCATATTTGTATTTACTGTATAGATTTAGATCATATACTCCCTTATCCTTTCAGATACTCATCTAATATATTAGTTTTATATATTGTTATTTTCTTCCTCAAATAGGCTAGAATGTCTAAAACTTTGCAGCTAGTAACATACATATAGTGGGTATATAGGATTATAATGTCTTGTAAGTTGTATGCAGTGATGAGATTTCAGGCAGCTTTATTCTAATGCACAGCTTACTACATTGCTGATATTTCATGTATGTATAGTAATTAAAACAACAATAAAATTCAATTCCTTCCATATCATCATTTTCATACATTCTTTTACCATCAAAGGGCACACATCATCATTTCATGAATTGTTAATATTGGGTTTTCTTATTTGATATGTAAGAGAATGCAGGTAAGGTGAAGAAAGTGAGGATGAAAACAATTTCAAATCTGTATTTATTGATCATATGTTACACAACATTCATATTAGTTGTAACCTCTCTGGAGTACACTCTCCCTACATATATAAACCTGACGTTCAAGAATAAATTGATTGGATGAAGAAATATTTCTACCAAAGCCAAATGATATTAAAGTGAAAGATAAAAAAGACAGAGTATAAATGAAATAGAGGTCATTTAATGATTTACATCATAATCGTAACTAAAGTTTCACCCTAGTCTTTTTTAGCTGGGGATGAAGTATGGTGTTATATTGATACCACTGCTCTTTCCCTAAACATCCCCACAAGTTGTATTCAACTGCTAAACCTACTTAAACATTTCGTGGTCAACTCACAATTTAAGAAATTTCATTTGGTTGAATATTTTTGGTATCAATACCCCAAAAATGTCATGGTATAGATTATGAGATAATGAGATATTAATCTTTTTGTTTGTTTGATTACAGCTGAGAAGTCACCGGGTCACCGAGGTAGCCTGCCTAACCTGAACAATCGTACGCACGTGATACAACCACCAGCACCCCACCCTACACCATGTACACCACCCCAGACCCCTATGAACAACGAGAGTCAATATCAACCTGATATGACGGGTGTAGACTCAGGGAGTAGAATGAAACAACCTAGCAGCATTCCTGTTAATAGGTAAAGCCTCGGTCAAAAATACCATTACGAACTGCTACAAACGATCTTCAGACCCTTTCATAAGATCTTCTTAAGAAGGCCGTATAAAACCAGCGTTCGTAAGTTTGCAGACTGGTCCATGGTCTTGTCCAAGATTTTTTTGAACCTTGTACGAAATCCTTTCTTCGTAAGGCGGCCATAAGTCTGACGTAAGAAGAACTTGAGGCATTCTTGAGGATGTAAGAAACTATGACCCATCTACGAATCTCTACGAACTCTGGAATTTGTATGAACGCATCGTTTGTACGAACCTTTGTGACCTTAGCTTGAGTCACAGAAATAGCAAATGTCAACATTTTCCCCAAGTTTGACCCTGTTTGTTTATATTCTTCTAAACTTTAGCCTTGAATTCTGGATGGGAGAAATTACCAAGAAGAAGAAAGTACATTACTAGAAAAGATGTGATGAATTTTGGTTAGAATTTATAATAATAGGAAACCTACAAAAATGAAATATCAATAATATCAATAAAGAAAGCTTATTAATGCTTTCTTGATTAAGAAAACAGCAACTTTATAGTAATTCCAAACTAGATGTACTAGTATCTTGAGATTTCTCAGCTGATTCAAAGATCACCCATTCACATTACTTGGAAGTTGCACCAATAATGAACATACGTCAGTATGATAATTCTTTCACTACAATAATGTTGGCACCTAATATTGACACAAACGTCTATTATTTTCAACTCGATTATAGGGCGCCCTCTCCAAGGACGTTAAAGCAACCATCACCCACCAAGCTAAGAGGTGCATCACCCCATCGTGGTAGCGGCATTCCAGTAAGAGCTAGTCAAATGGATAAGAGTCAGATTCCTAGACCTAGATCAGCTGTTATCCCCAAGAGCGGTATACCATCACCTAATAATAGGTAAGTTCAATATAGTTTGATATGGTATGGTTTAGTAATTTCAGTGCTTTGACAATGGCTCCTGCAATATTTGCTACAGGTCTGTTCGGTTAAAGATATAGGGCTAGGTGTAGTGTTAGGGTTTAGGTTGGGTGTAGTGTTAGGGTTAAGGTTAGGTGTAGTGTTAGGGTTTAGGTTGGGTGTAGTGTTAGGGTTTAGGTTGGGTGTAGTGTTAGGGTTTAGGTTGGGTGTAGTGTTAGGGTTTAGGTTAGGTGTAGTGTTAGGGTTTAGGTTGGGTGTAGTGTTAGGGTTAAGGTTAGGTGTAGTGTTAGGGTTTAGGTTGGGTGTAGTGTTAGGGTTTAGGTTGGGTGTAGTGTTAGGGTTTAGGTTAGGTGTAGTGTTAGGGTTTAGGTTGGGTGTAGTGTTAGGGTTTAGGTTAGGTGTAGTGTTAGGGTTTAGGTTAGGTGTAGTGTTAGGGTTTAGGTTGGGTGTAGTGTTAGGGTTTAGGTTGGGTGTAGTGTTAGGGTTTAGGTTAGGTGTAGTGTTAGGGTTTAGGTTGGGTGTATTGTTAGGGTTTAGGTTAGGTGTAGTGTTATGTCCAAGGTTGAAGTGAGGAATTTGACTAGTGTAGAAAACTGACGGGAGCACTTGCCACTGGAGCAGGTGTTGCAGAACCTTTCCAATGCCTCTGTCAGCTATCATACCAAAGGTTTATGTACCATCATCCTCTAGCAGAAGCTGAAGTTTGTGTCCTGTGGTATTGTACTTTTCTTGTGTGAATAGGATGGCACCCCCAAAATCCTGTTATTTTTAAATCGCATTGGTGTCTGACTGGGAATGTAAGAATAGTCTGTATTGAATCTGATATAAAACACTGAAGACTTTACACAATTAACCTCAAGTGGTGCTAAGTCTTTCCCTGTGAACTACATCCTCTTTTCGTTGGTAGTATCGAGCATGACTGAGATAACTCTTGCAATAGATGTTATTAGGGATACTACAAAATTAGAGAATTGTGTAGCAACAATAGATTTGAAGGATGAATTAATAGTTTAAGATTTTATGACCTAATGACTAATTAGTCTTTTTACTATGATAATTATACGCATTGTTTATCTCTTGGTACAACAGAACGGCTGTTTCACCTCGAAGCTCAGTCAAAACAAGAGACGATAGCTGGAGAGAAGGTTGCTATTGACAACATCTAACAGGATTCTTCCTCCTCCTCCTAACACCTCAAGCTCCAAACCAATGGAGATGTGCCTAGTCTAGTCCATCATTTGGGATTCATCGTATGTCAGCTAAAGCTTTAGGAACAATGAAAACCAACTTTTCCCTACCGTGAAAAAAGTCTGGTGGAGGGTGAAGATCGTACAGAGGATGAACAAGTAATGAACAGCTAAGGTGGGTAGTTGTTGTGGGGAGGACAGAGATCCCGCAGCTGATCGTGGAAGTAATGAACTGCAAAGAATGATAGCAGGTTAGATGCAACAGGAGGCGAAGCGAATTCCCTAGACCTCATGGATGAAAAGGGATCATTTGGACCAAGAGTGAACTGACCTGAAGTGAAGATTCTGGATCTGATGGTGGTTACTTCTAAAGGCCAGCTGGTTTATATGGAAGGAGTGATGCACAAATATGAAACTATAAAGGTTTTATCTTCATAAAGAAGGTGTTCTTTGTCACAGAGAACGGGACAGTGGCAGTGGAATGTCAGGGCCTTGTGTCATGTGGCAGCAACAATGACTGATGATGAGCCAGTGAAAGGAACCGCTAGACTGCATGTAGCCACAGAATCAACTGCAATTGTCAACAATGTGGGTATACATGTAGTTGCTGCTTATGCTGTGATGGATGTTCAATGGTGGGTTAGGGTCGGGGGAAGGGGTTGTACAATCATTTGATGAATTAGGAGCCACACTCCTGTGCAATGTGTGAAACGTCAACGCAGTTTCTGATGAGAATCTTGAATTAATCACAAGTGAACCTCTGGTAGTGTGTGACAGTTGATGATACGGGGAGTAAGCAATGGCTGCTGTGAGGTTCCCTGGATGCTAACCTTGTTGTTTGCCCAGCAGAACAGATGCATGGCCAACAAATGGAGAACATACATTTTAATGTCCTGACATTTTTGTTGTTTTACTGCATCTACAAAACACATTCAGTACATACATTGTCTAAATTATGAAAAGTGATACGTTGTTCCTTTAACCTGTCATTAAAAAAAAAAAATGTATTCACGCCCTCCTCCTGGTATACAAGAATACACTCACTTCTAAGCATTCAGGTCACAATATCAGTCAACCCATCCATCAATTTATACAGTCAAATCTGCTTTAGTGACCACCTGTCTACAAAGACCACCTGTTTACAACAAGCACATTTTTTGTTTTCCTTGAAAATGGTTTCTCATTGAAACATGTACTAAAGGAACCTGTCTACAAAGACCAATTGTCTACAAAAAACACTTTTTGTGTTTCCCTTGGGCGGTCGCTGTAGACAGGTTTGACTGTATTAAGAGTTGAAGTTCATTCGCAATGTTTGTAGAAGGGTAAGAAAGGCCTATCATCATATACCATACAGCATCATAGTGCTTAACCCCTCCTACCATCTACCTAGCAAGGAGGTGAACAGTAGAAAGAGAGGTGCATGTTTGTGCACATCATTTAAAGACTTTAACTCATTAGCAACTAGAGATATTGTAAAAAATGGCGTATTACTCGCTGGAAGATGTTGCAATATTGCTCTCATTTTGACATTGTTCTGAACAATATGAAACATGCGCTATTTTTCTATGCAGAATCCTACTGAAGACATCGTAAGGATTACGCACGTATAACATTATCATGGTAGACCCCATAGAGGGATACTACAGCGGTTTCGGGTGGTTCAGTGAGTCAAAGGAGGGGCAGCTTCGGGCGGTTTAGTTGCTAAAGGGTTAATGCTATAGAAGTTTGCCTTTCTCTTTCAGAGAACAATTATACCAGTAAAGCGTGTATTATCTTGTCCAAAGACTAATCAATTAATTATACAAATTCAAAATTAACTTTTAGATAATCATCCATGTGTCATTAGAATGTCAAAATGGTTTTAAATGATCTGTGGGTAACATATAAATAATTTGTTTGTAGCAAATAAGTCATGATAAAAAGTGATAGGATATCCTGTACTGAAATGTAGACAAAATTAAAATGTCATTCAATGAGATTAATTATATTTCGGGAATTGGCTTTTATGAGGAATAGTGTGTGTTGCAGATATATATTTCCTTCCAAAGAAAGTAAACATGGAGCAACTTAATACTAAAAATAACCCCAACAATTAATTACAAAATCAGGTTTTTGGTAGAATGCAATTGCATTGATTAATTCAGGATGTTGCACAACATAAGCAAATGTTTGCAATTCTCTGGAGGTTTTTAGTCATCACCTGCTTGTGTATCAAAAGTTAGGCTACAAATAGAAACAATATATGTTGTGTTACAATAATGGTAAATGCCTTACTGTAATGGGTTCATCAAATTATTTTTTTGCTTTAGTTTTGTTTTTAGTTAAATTGGCTCTAGCTTTTTTCAAACTATATGGCTCTTTTGAGAATGCTTCATACATATTCCAGTAGCAATGATATATCTCAACTGATAATGTCTTATCTTAGTAAGCATTTTCCACCAAATTGTGGAATAACAATACTTTACAAGGGATTTCTTTAAACTATAAAAAGATGATTCGATCATTAAAGAATGTAGGCATTGCAATTACTCGGGATAGCAGGTAAATGAAGGAGATAATGAAATGAATTATATCCACAGAAATTTGTTGATTAATGTATCTACACCCTTTACAAGTCATATTTCTATCAAGTTTTGATATTGGTATCAAGGTCTAAATCCTACATTTATTTTAAATTTTTTCTTCAGAAAGTTTCATTTGATTTGTAATTTTAACTTGCCAAATTTTACAATTTCATGTATACCGGTATATGATTTGAAGACAAACATGGTACTGATTCCAGTTTTCTGAAGGTGTGATCTTACTTTTCTTTCACAACATCTGACCAAAAAGAAATTTGCTGTGGAATTGTTTTTTACTTTATACTCTCACAATGATTTTCACATATGATTATCAGCACAAAATGTATTTTTGGTTTGATTGGCACCATATTTACTTCCATATACAGAGTGAAATATTGTAAAAATCTTCATGATTTTCATTTTTTGTTCCTGTGCAAAGTATAATCAGATGTCTTTCATTAATTTTCATCACTTTGCTATCATTATGTTTATTTTCTTTCTCTTATTCATTTTATCTTCCGTTCTCTTTTTTAATTTTATTTACTATTATTATTATTTATTTGTTTTTGGTTCACAAATTCTTGAATGTTGGGATGGACATATCTTTGAAACAGGTACATAACTTGTAAAGATTATGGTGATGGTGTTATCATCATTCATAGATTTCATCTTCAATATATTGATAAGAGTTAATCACATTCTTGTCTCTTTTCTTTTTCAAACATCGCTTTTCCCAAAGGTTTCCCCCATTTAAACAAACCTCTTGGTCTATTCTTTGTAGAAACGTTAGTGTGCAATGCGAGAGATACATCAGTCAATATTTATTTGCTATATTATTGTGTAATTATTTTTGTAAATGTTGCTGAAATTGCTTGTCCGTTATGTAGTACTGCCAACGATCAAATGTAATATAATAAGGGTGAGATGGTACTCAGTTGATCTATCTTTCCATTGTTTGAGTGACAATGCTGCATTCCCAAGTTTTCCATCTCAGAGTGCAGTGAACTATGGCTTTTCATGTAAGTTAGGAGAGTAGCAAGTGGTATGCTAGTTTCAGTTTGTCAAAGTATGATTTTATGTTCTGTAAAGCTGGAATGAATTCTAGAATCAGATGTTATTTTAGAAGTTGGTAGGTACACTGTATATGATTTGTATTTTTAAAAGGGAGAGTAAAATGTCACAAGGTATTTATTTGTTCATTAAAACCACCATATGTCTCTCTTTACCCTGTGGGGTGGTTGGCGGGAATTTGAATAATTTGCTACTAATTCATATTAGCTATACCATTGTGTACTTAAGGGTTTTGAAATAATTCTTTGAAAATGTATCAAAGATGGTTAGGATATCTACATGATCCCATAGGTGAAATAAAAATGAGAATTAAGACAATCTAATACAGGGTAGAATACTATTATTTCCTTTGCAATGTATCAATGAATTATTGATCTTGGTTGAAAATTCATTGTCATAAAGTTTTAGCCCCAATTATTGTATGATGGTTGATATACATTGAGATACATGCTAGCCTTGAAAAGTGATTTTTGGAAGGTTAGATCATAATAAACAAGTTTGGAAAAAAGAGAAGGAAGTAGAGCAAAATAGAGGGAAAGATGAGATAATTTCTAGTACTAAATTAAAGTTGATCTTGGCTCCCACAAACCTTGCTCTGAAATTGATAGACACACCCAACAGAAACTGATCTACATTTACTATGTCATCAAAAGAGTTGATAAAGACCATTCGTGCTACCGTATTTGAAAAAGATCTATAAGTAAATGCCGAGCTTAGTTGTGCAAATGCAAAACAACTATTCTGCAATATTTTAGCTGTGGAAGAAAAATTGATAATGAAACTTGAACATGTATGTTAAGAAACATTTAGCCTTGGTTGATTATTTTAGTTTCAAAGAACATGCCTATTGCTCTATTATTCTGATTCTTATTACTTTTGTCACTATTTTGACTTAAATGCTGGAAAAAAATTATATCCCAAATGACACTTAGTTCGCAAATGCAAAGGCTTTAAAATTGGCAGTTTATTAGCAGTATTTGATTGCTCTATTTCTCACTGACGGTAGGAAATGAAATAACTATTATTTGCATTTAATTTTTCTATTTTGTGTGAGAATCGAGTGATCATTCAACAAGTTCTGTAACTCAAAATTCATCATTTGACAAATATACAGTCAAAGTTTTAACAGTGTTTCAGATTTCAGAGTTTTTGAAAATCACATGTCATTGTTAACCTAAAGCTAGGTTTACACCAAAGTTTATACAAGTGTTCATGTATGAATTTGAAAATTGTTATGTCAAAACTACATAAATTAATCAAATGAAGTGTTTTGGGGTAAATGTTCTATTTGATCATCAAAATTAAGCATTGAAGTCTAATAGGGAATATGGGAGTAAGGTTTATGAAAGCATCTGATATGAATTCTTAAAAGACAAATATGTGTTCAATTTCTTGTTACGGTCACATCATTTTTCTGTTTTGAGAAACAGAATGCTCTAGAAATCTATTTTTATGTGTGTGATGAATTCTGGCTTATGAATTCTGTATTATTGTATCATATGTATAAATGATATATTGTTTGTGGAAATACGGAGATGACATTTACCTATTTATTGTCCAGATTAAGAGTTTGCAGATGAAGGAGGGCATTTTTATCCGTTTCCACACATTTGTTACTAACTATATGCAGTCTTCTGAAAATCTACATTTTTCTTTTATGTCTTAATGAAGAAAAACAATTCTGAAATGGTACAGACTTCAAAATCTCTTGTACTTTCTTTGGGTCTTGGACACTCGGTTATGTTATTGTCATTATCAAAGTTGAATCTGAATGGTACATGAAATGAAGTTTTTTTTCTTTCTGGGTTGTCGCGTACTTGTCACTTCCACTCATTGCAGATGTCTAAAAATAAAATGAAAATGATACCGTATATTATGAAATAAAAGTATTTCAAAATGTAGCTCACTCCTTTCTGACTTTGTTTTATTTATCTGAATCGAAATGTCGATTGATGTGAATGTTGCATGGAAACAGAGGAAGAGAGAGATTGATAGGGTGGGAAAATTGAAAGAGAAAGAGAGAGAAAGAGGGGGAGTAGGAGGAGTGAGGAAAGAAGGGAAGAGACAGATGGGTGAGAGAGAAGGGAAAAAAGAGGGAGAAAAAAGGAAGAGAGGGAGGAAAAAGGGGTAGAGAGAAAGGGTGCAGTCTCTTTACAATTTTGAGGCAAAGCAATACATTTTGAGACATGAATTTTAGATATAAACAAAAACTTTTATTGTACACCTGAAATAAATCATGCAAATATTTTGAAGATATACATGAAATACACATTTCCCATTTTCTCTTAAAAACAACCAAATATTCAGGGTAAACGACAAATTTACAGCTACATAAAAAGATGTGTTCATGATTATTCTGTCCGATACGCATATCAGGAAGCTTCAAGCTTCATTTGAAATATTTCTTTCCCTTTTTAACAAGACAAGCATGTATTACACAGAAGCTGCAATAAATATTTTATCTGTTTTTAAATATTATAATATTGGCATTATTCATACTGTACAGTCACAATATATAAATACACCAGATCGAAAGCAATAGGATTTCAACAATATCCATGGTAACATTCAAAATGTGCACATTATTCTATACATTCCTACAAGTAATTTCTAGTTTTCACATCACGAGAAAGCGACACATTTTATTTTGACGAGCACACGACCAGATTGCAGTAGACAGTTGCGATGAACAGATGAAAGTACACAAATCATGTTCTCTTTCATTTATCTGTTTGTAATGAATGCTGCTTTAAAAATTTATTTCACACACCATTAAGTGTCATTATTAAGAAAAGAGTCACTGTGCTTTGATAACATGTATGTACACCAGCATGATCACAGATGAATTGATAAGCCATGTATTCACTAAAACCTTTGTAATTTCATCTATCAGAAGAAAAACAGTGATCAAATATTCTGATTTGTAGTTCAATTTCACTGATATTGCTTTAATATTATTTTAATATGACTGCAGCAATTTGATTCCATCTACATCAAGTACAATCTCAAACACATAAAATGTTTATTTGATGACATTCAGATTGAAACATTTTCTTCAGTCTCCTCTATCAAAACAGATTTAATGTCTATTATGAAAGTTATTAATGATAAATTGGTATGGTGTTAAAGTAAAATAATACATAAGAAGCAATGATGAAAAAATGCTGAACAATTAATTTGCACAATGTGACATGAAGTCATTAATGCTTTTATAGAAGACGCAAATTAGATATCTTTATTAAACATGAAAGACACTCACAGATAGAAATCAATTTGCTAAAAATTGAGAAATCTGACAAAAAGCATGATGAAATGAGATAATTATTTTGTAGAGAAATGAAGGAGCTATAAAGGGAAACGAATGAGAGAAAGATAAAAGCATACAGAAACAAACAATGACAGAACACTTCAAAACTGTATACAAAAACAGATGCAACCTACAGAGCGAGCATCATGCAACATACAAACTGTTGCCTTGTACAGGGAGCTTACAGACACGTCTACTCATTGCTATAAAGGAATTTTCCTTACTAAAACTTAATCCTAGAGTTGGAAATGGAAATAGAAAGAGTGTATATAGTTTCTTGTTCATATCCTTGCCTTTCTATTACTCCTAACTTGTTATAATTCATTGCAAACCTATTTGACTTCAAAAACTATTCAAGAAAATCTGTATTGACAGTTACAGTCCATTATCAATATTTTCTTTCTTTTGCAAAGATAAAAAATGTCCAGGAAAGTAAAGAGACTCATAAATGCCTCTTTCGTTCCTGGCTTCTATTAATTAATCACTAAAACCATTATAGCTTCGTGTTGACTAATTATGTTACTAATTATACTGATAACATGACATAACAAATTTAATTAACAAATACAGTAAATGTCTACAATGTAGTGATAAGGAATGACTAGGCATGACTGACTGGGACATACAGAATAAAGAGTATATGCTTAAAGAAATAAATACGGTTGATATTTCGTCTAAGGTCCAAACGATGTTAGCCGTTTCCTAGTTTAGTATCAAATAAAAACATTCCTATCAAAATGAACTATCACTACCATATTTGTTTGGAATGTAGAGAATGCATTTTGTCTGATATTCTACACATCTAGTTCAAACATCTTTATGATATCTACAGTCTATACTTCATACCCTCGCATTAGGGGGTTCAATTGAACAGATTAATTAATTCATATAAAAATGCCTCTACAGATATTGTCAGACAAGTCATAAATGGTAATCAAATGTACTGATATGTTCATTTATTTGCTCCAGTAATTTCACATAACTCATTTTCAAAGTTCTGCTTCCTATGTTTTATGAATAAATCATAAAATTAACTCACTATCCAAGAACTGACCAAATATAAGGTAAAATGAGAAAATGAGATTATTCACATTTTCAATAATTTATTAAAAAATGAAGCAATGAAACTCTACATTAAATAAAATTTATTGATAATATAAAAAGATAAGAAATACAAATTGAGATGGGAAGGTGAGAATGAGAAGAAATGAAGACACAAAGAAAGAGAGTATCTATGTGAAGGAAACTATCATGATATAACCTAGGTAACAAAAAAACATCATCATCAATCCTGAATACTATTTTGAAGTGTACAACTGAAGAAGATTGTGGTGCTGTGTGCTGTGTATGATTTTACAGATACAATGTAATGAAATCCCATCACCAATCTAACACTTGATAGAGTAGCACCAATTAAAGCAGTAAGAAGGGATAAGCAACCAGTCTTCACGATTGGTCCCTAATTTCCCTAAGATAGACAAAAATGTAGTTCATGAACAATGCACCCTACTAAAGCTAGACATCTGCAGCAACAACTCTCCATTAAAAATATATGAAAATTTCTTTTTCTTATTCATTGTTTCCCCATTATCTTGGATACTCCTGAGCATTAGTCTTCATTTATTTATATATATATATATATATATATATATATATATATATCATAACCATATACAATGATCGTAATTCCTGAAACATTAATAGTGGGTTTTTGTCATTGCGCTCATGTCTGTCAGAGTTGACACACAACATGGTGCTCCACAATTAGTATTCATATTGTTTTAAATTAAATTATGGTATCTCAGTATTATCAGTCAAAATCACAAATTAACTCTGATTTAGCTGATATATGAAAATACAGTTCATTAGTTGATTTGTACAGTGCTGTTTCCCTAAGAAACAAAGCAGTGAATACTACCATTACCCCCTGGCTGAGCAGCCATGATCAGGTGTTTCAGCAAATAAAACATGATACTATTAATCCAGTTTATCCAGTTTTAACAGCAAAATCAAAGGGTTTCAGATGCGTATGTTTGTACATAGCTTACCCTTGACATGACAACAATTACATATAACAAAAATTCTGATTGTTAGGAGAAGTAGTAGTCATCCAGATCTTAGATTTGATAAGGTGCATTGTCCATGATCTACAAACTAGATAGGAATAATTTAACTATGAAATAACACATCATTTACACAAAGCTTGATATACAGATCTTTCATGAGGTAATTACAGAGAGCATAAATTTGATAGAAAATTTAAAAATAAAGGAAAATAATCAATAGAATATTATAATTACACAAATAAACATTTTATTTACAATCAGAAATATTCATCTTGTTTTGAGAGAGATACAGGGTGGGAGAGGATACAAAGGTCAAAGGTCACACTCTGATGGAAAACAATCAATTAAACCCCTTCAAAACCAACACACAATTGTTACACCATGGACTACAGCTAGAACTCTTCACTTATGAATGTGTGATGAGTTCATTATTGACCTCTTCCTCACATCTACACCTCACAACATACATTAAGAAATTCAGAGATCTTCAATGACATCTAGGTTTAATAACTGGCATGGCAACCATTTCTTTCACCTCATAAAGATGAACAAATGAAATATCATAGAACCACTTACTAACATTCCAAAACAAAAAAAAAGCATTTGATTTTCAAATAAAGGCAATATATCTTTGTCTTTGGCACCCAAGAGAAATATAAATGGCACACCGAAGAAAGAAAAAGACTATTTCCATCCTAAAACAAAGTTTAGCACATGTTCCACTTTTGTAAATACTTGAAATAATCATTGAAACTCCAAAACAACACAAGAAAAATTTGGCAAAGCAATCTTTGTGATGACATAAAATTAGCATGCAAGGGCGATACTTATTGGGATAAAATTTGGTTTCTTTCACTAAATAAATGAAATATATGTGTGATATCATGCTGAATAATATCATGATAAAATGTCCAAAGCTGGAGTCTAAACAAATCATGTCAAACCATGGCATGTGTAATTAATAATGAGGCATGAGTGAGAACTAGAGATGGAAGAGAGTAGCAAAGATCCTTCAGCTATTAAAGATTATGTCCAATTCCAAAAGAAGCATACTATATGATGTTTCATCATTACAACAAAGGCTACTACATCAGTTTTTAAGTACAGTGTAATCTCTTTCTCTTTTATTCATCTTTTTAAAATGATATTCATTATTTCAATATCCCTTGAGTTGACTTTGCTTCACATATTCAACATCCAATTGGCTTACAGTCATATCATGGAAACTGAGAGAATACAGAAAGGTATTTGCACTCTTGAGTTTATTACTGTTAAAGCTCTTAACTTTGACAAGAAAAGTTTATTTCATTACACAACTTGTATCACTAGATCTTTTCAGAAACATACTTTTTTAGGAGACTTCTGACAATTAAGTATTTTTACAGAAATTCTGACCCAGTATTTTCATTACTGTTTATGAAATGAAATGTTTGCCAATAAACAGATCAGTTACTACTGCCATAGATACCGGTACAACACTCTATACTATTAATTACAATGAGTTTGAATTTAGATTATAACCTACTGTTTGATGTTGTAATGATCGACATATGATAAAATTGGCATGATCTTCTTTGCTTGAAATTCTTTGCTTACTGTATAACCTTCCATACATGCATCAATCCCTGTTTCAAATGATATTTGCACAGCTTGGATGCATGTTTTTTTTTTACAAATCAATATTTGTTTATAATGTGCCACTTTGTAGCATTCTTATTTCACTTATTTTTATCCTCTCCTGAAATATTGCAACAAATAACTTTAACAATAAGCATTGTAGAATCTTGGACATAATCCTATCTACAATACTATCCTCTGATTCTTCAGAATATTGCAAGATGGAGGGAAAGTGTTGAGTGGTCTGAATTGGGGAGCCCTCAGTCATCCAAATGATGATGATTTGGGTATACAATCAAGACATCTTCATTTATGCCATATCGGTATAGACCAATGTACTTCATTGAAAAATTGCTGCCGATGGTCCATGGTTACACCGCGCTGTTAGACCCATGCGAGCCCATCCTTGTACTTCATCGTCGTGATTAATGCGGATGGTTGGGTGAGAATACGCCGCTTTCATGGCTCTCCATGGAGCTTGATCGCGAGAAGCCTTTCCGTGCGCCAGTAGGTGACGGGGACGGGGAAGGGGTAGAGGTTGCTTTGAACTGGGGAGGGGGTGAAAAGTTATCACCTTGGTTTAATTTCCACATCAACTCCTCGTTCTCCATGGATAGTCTCTTATTAACGCTACTCTCACGCTCGTATGAAGCTCGCAGGGTTACATGCTCTGTTGAAAGATGCCTGTACAGGGGGAATAAGATATTCATATTAAAGCTATTATTAAAGCTTATCTTGCTATTCTAACATTTTATTCAATATCATTTTTAGTAATATTTGTTTTTGTTAGGGGGAGGGGTTTCTGATTATTTTTCTTTCATAATCATACTATGTCCGAAAAGTGTTCCTTTATCTTAACTCCTATTTCTTTCTGATAAATAAAAACACACATTTGACTGTACATACCTCTCATATTCTGTCTTTCTTTGCATGAGTGCCTGGACGTCTTCCACCTTGGCGGTCAAGTTTTTAATCTTCTCATCTTTTCTCTCTATCAGATCATGCTGGAATAAAAGTTATGATAATAACATTAAAATACAATGCACAAAAAAAAATTGTTTCTCAATATCTATAACAAATCTACCACAAGAAGATTGACAGAAACAAACATACAGAGAGAGAGAGAGAGAGAGAGAGAGAGAGAGAGAAAGAAGAGAGAGAAAGAGAGGGGGAAGAGAGATATAGAGTCAGTAATAGAAAAGAAGAAAAAGATAGATATAGATTAAGAAAGAGGAGAAGAGATGGAGAAAGACAGACAGGCAAAGATAGACAAACCCAAAAAACAACGGAGAGGTAGATTGATTGACAGAGAGAGAGAGAGAGAGAGGGAAAGAGAGAGAGAGGGAAAGAGAGAGAGAGAGAGAGAAAGAGAGAGAGAGAGAGTGAGAGAGAGAGACTAGATAAAGAATACTTTACTAATATAACAGCCTGAAATCAAACACATTTTGTGACAGACTTTGCATTCACTTCAGCAACTTAGAATACGCAGAATTGTAAAATAAAAATATTTGGAATGACAGATGGGACCCAAGTCTTGTATTGTGGTAGAATATCTATTTTCATATGCTTACCTCTTTTTGTAGAGCCATCTTAGCTATCCTGAGTTCATGTATCTCTTGATTCTTGATCTCCATGACAGCTTTCATACTGGCTACCTCATCTGGTAGGTGCTTGTACTGAGAGATGGCCGCCTGAAGGAGGAGATTTGATATTAAAGAGTCTCTATTATCATCACTAGCATTGACAATCATTATTATCAACATCAACACAGACATGATTCATATTCTCATCAAACTGACAATCCTCATCATTGTCAACCTAATATAATCATTGTATTGAATTGAAATTGAATTGAATTGGTTTGGTTTATTGCAAAAACACATCAAACAAGCAGCTCGCAGGCTGAAAATGTTCAATTTACAAACAAATTGAAAAATATCATCATATTATCAACATTATCATTATCGTCACCATCCTATAAACAGTCAGAATGTTGATCCCCCATAATTTGTTTTAATATCTGATAAATCAGACTCTCCTAGCACTTTGCAAGCATGGATGATATCGACTAGTGAATGTTCAGTACACTGTCCACTGTGATGAGCACTGGGTCTTGTAAACTACAGTAATACAAGCGATTAATCGTGAATTGTACGAGGATAAAGGTTCTCTACATTGGGGTTTGTCTGGTCATCAGGAGAACACAGTCACAAATAGAGACACTTCACAAATGACATTAAGGAGGTGATTTTCATGAGTATTTACCTGAACTTTGGCGTTATCATCCTTCCTCAAGGCTTCCTCCAGCTCCTGTGTTCTCGTCGTCTGACAGTCACACTGGTATTTCCACTTGAATACCTCATCCTGTTAAGATATTGGGACAAGAATATATTAATGTTGATATTTTCTTTTAAATAGCATGTCTTGCATCCCGAGAAACAAGGTTATAATAATAATAATAATAGCCTAATAGTCCACTCCAAATTTTATTAAACCGAAACAGAAATTCTTTTTGCCCAATTGATCGTAAGCCCGGCAGCCACTGAGCAGCGCCAGATCGACGTTGCTCTATATACCTTATATAGTAATGAATTTTTCTTTTTTGTTGTTGAAAATCTACATGTAATACATTTGCCACACTACATAAAAGTGAGGTAAATAGGTACCTGCAGGAATCAATTCATTCAAAATGCTTGAGTGCTGTAATAATAATAATAATAATAATAACAATATTTATAAAGCGCAATGGCATGGTAATGGCATTGATGTTATACAAGACTCCACTATCATCGTTATTATTATTATCATCATTACTTCCATCAAATAGATACAGATATTTTATTCAATTATAATTTTGTAACCCTAAATTTCTTAATACTTTCAAGTAATTTACAATATAATTCTTAATTTGAAAAATTATCAATCTCTTTTTTTATCTACTCATTCCTTTTTTTAAATTTATCACCCATGGTGCCTTTGAACAAGAACACAGAATCATCATCACATAAATCAGGTTTTGCATATCTGACACAATTTCTTCTTTGGGAATTACCTGAAGTTCTCTGATTCTCTCCTCTGCATCCCTCTTGAGAGCCTCTATCTCCTGGTCTTTCCCTCTGATCACCTCCTCCATATGATCCATGTGATCCTGATTGATCTGAGTCACATGCTCTGCGTGTTGGTCCTCAATGTCATGCACTAGGCTTTGATGACTCGCTGTCATGTCACACATCTGGGATATAGAAGAGATATGGGGTGTTAGTTTCGTCTTTCCTCCACAAAATCACTGTCTTCACAAAAATCATCATCACCATCACCATCATCATCATCATCATCATCATCATCACCACTTTCACCATCATCATCATCAGCATCATCACCACCACCATCATCCTCACCATCATCCTCATCACCCTCAGCATCACCATCATCATCATCACCACCATCACCATCGTCATCATCACCATCACCATCATCAGCACCTCCACCAACATCACCACCATCATCACTACCACCACCACCATCATCATCATCATCACCATCACCACCACCACCATCATCACCACCACCATCACCACCACCACCACCACTACCACCACCACCACCACCACTACCACCACCACCACCACCACCACCACCATCGTCACACATTATCAATCCTCCTCCTCTCTGTCTCACCTCTTGTTGATGTCCATCAGCTAGTTTCCTGATTTCTTGTGTGTGTTCAGTAGCCACTGTGGAAAAAAGAAGTTAAGATATCGCTGTTGACCATATTTTTTCACAAGAGAGTGGATATTCTTCAGAAGTCTGTCAACTAAAAGAAGACTGTTATTTCTTGAAATATCAATAAACGATTCTTGTCTACAGTAATTTCCATACAATGGAAGGCAATATATAACATTAAGCAATAAAAGAAACTATTAGCCTTCACATGGCTAATTTAGAATCACTTTTACAAGAGCAATTGTGCATGCACAATAAATTTCCTGAATGTAATAGTTATGACCAACACATTATCCAACACAATGCCCTGGAAAAGTTGAATGCCCACATTAACAGAAACTTAAAGGTTCCTGGTAGTAATATCAAAATCTACATATTCTTTGATAGATGATATGAAATAGTTTATATTCATTGCAAAAACAGGAAGTTTAAATAAATGAATGCATAACAGAAGGGGATATTCATAATTTTGATGTTATTCTCATTCTTTTTATGGAAGGGAATGTGAAATGAGGCCTTCTACGCACTTGATTGGATGTCTCTGCTATGTTTGGCTCGGAGTGTTTCATTGAGGTTTTCGATCTCCTCTATGTGAAGGAGCTCTGTTCTCCTTGTCTCCTCCTCATGGGTGTGTGTCTCCATGTTGAGCTCCTCCTGGAGATGACAGATCTCTGCTTCTTGTTGAGCTGAGATAGAAACAAGAAGAAGATATGGACACAAATTAGACATCAAGGAACATTCATAACATCCAATCCAATCCAATCCAGGTATTTATAAAGCGCCAATACCTAGTTGCCTAGTCAAAGGCGCTGATGAGACTGAACAACTACCAAAAATGTCTGTTCATGATTCTAACTGGGAAAGACAAAAAAGCAATGACTAATAGTAAGCAATCTGAAATAGGTTGATAGTTGAGTTCTGAAAGGTGATAATTGGTGACAATAGTGCATGCATATATTTTCCATTATCTTTTTAACCTAGGAAACTTGGACATATTCTTATTTGATCATGTGTCGGTAAGATTGCAGTCACATAGTGAGACCAGTCTCAGATCAGTCCCAATCTGGGGTTTTGATACCTTAGTCTTCTTCTTGATCCTGAGTACTAATGCTAAATGTTTGTCTATTTCATGCAACCTTTCAGAGGCTCTATATTCACTATGAATTCAAACCACAGCACAATTTCCCTAAACTCCTTCAACTGTGTTAACCAGTAATGTTAAGATTTGCAATTACGGTACATTTTTTTACATAATTACATGATACATGTACATACCCGTTTTAATTGTCGACATTGTGACCTGGTTCTGCAACTTTTCATTGGTAGCTTTGAGATTAGGTGCAGAGAAGCCATCAACCTGTACAATCAAAATGTTAAAATGATGTATTATATTCTATCAAATCCTGGCAACAATGACTGGAACTATTAGACTCTAGTATTCTATTTCATTCACTTGGCTCAGTTACGAGCTTGACGGTTCAAATCTCTGCAAATCTCTTAAAAATCTGCATATTAAGTCCTTAGTCAAGACATCTTATCAGATAGTCACAAGATACATTATTCGTAGGTTAAGATAGTCATATAATGTATTCATCCATAAACCTTGATTTTCTTACGATATACTATCAATACCTATATCATACAAACAAATTTTTTTCCTCTTCAGTCTAAATTGTTTATTAACTCAACTATTTCAGTACTGACCTCATGTGAAAGGTAGCTGACAATGGTCGCCATGGCATCGAAACCTTTAGTAGCTTCTTGGAGTTGTTCTTTGGCTTTGGAGAGTTGAAGAAACCTTGTCTCACATAGCGATTCAAGGCGTTTGATCTCCTGCGATGCTTCACCGTTGACTAGGGAGGTGTAGACCAGATCTGGAGGCGATGCATGCAGGGTGTGGGCTGTCGTCTTGGGCTTGTAGCCATGTTTGTCTTGATGGGGATCTATGGATGACAAGATGAAGAGGACCAAAAAGGTTAGATATCCATTGCAGATTTTGCCTTTCAATATGTGGTATCTGCTACTAAAAGGAAAGGGGAATACATTTACCGGTAGATGTTTTGGTTGCAGCTCCAATGTATGCTTTGAATCTGATGAATATGAATTGGTTTTGGTATACACACCTATTCCATAGATCCTAGTCTGAGTTGTCTCTGGCTTACTATTCAAAAGGTTAAACAGTAAATGCCAAGTGTTTGTTTGGGACTGACCAGGGTAGGAACTGATTTACCAACTTGGAGACTTCCCTCCCCTTCCCCTTCCTGGCCACTCATCATGCATACAGCCGATGTAGGGAAGGTCCTGATGTAAGATGCCCCCTCCCCCTCCTTACCCCACTCACTCTATAACACTTGTCAGAGGCTGAGGGGGAATTCATACTATAATCCTACTTCAATTCCACTACACAGTACCTATCAAATGAAGGGAGAAAGGATTGGCAATACCCCTTACCCCTTTATCACCCTCAAGCAATATGAGGTGCAACGGGAGGCTCAAATCCCCTCCCCCCTCCCCCTCCTATCCCCCTCACTATACAGTACTATAGTCAGACACACATGGGAAAGGGGTTGATCTGCCTCTGACAATGACCCTGATCATTCTATAAATTGACCAAGTGACTAACAATAACAAAAATGGCTGCCAAGCAATCTGGAGAACATGCATCCAATATGGCAACTATACGACAGCCAAACAGCCTGTTGAGTCATACTTCGCATAACACTCTGCACCATGAGGTAGTCATAATGTTTACCACATGTTTGAACAACCAAACTCTTCGAGACATCAATGACCTGATTCACATGAATAAAGCTGAAGTCATCTTACATATGCATAATGCTGAAGAAGAAAGTCCCATGTTTTCTTTGAAATACAGCTTGCGGAGAGAAAAATGGAAACTGTCCTATCAAAGATTCTTCAATATAACAACAACTAATGTTCCAGCAATCCAGACTTGCATTCAAGATCTATAGTCACCAATACCCTGTCCGCAAGTCCTTTACAATAACCCTAGACAATGTCTAAAGACAATGAGCTGATTAAAGTTTAGTTCAGTGCTCGTTCTTTTCCTGTTTTCTAAACACACACAATAAAATTGTTCAGTCCTACACATTACATCCTGTGCCTGGTGACCGAGAGAGGAGCGTTAGGAAGATAACACTTGGACTGATAAATTGTGACAGTACCTTGTACTTCAAGAGTAATTAGAGCATGAAACATTCCTCATTAACTACTAATATAGACCTACTCAGAAATGAAAAGGCTTTTCATCAAGGTAGTCAGACTACTCTATATATAAGTTGTAGTCCCTTTCTATCGAATTTGTTCAATGTTATCAATCTTTCCAAACCAAAGTAAAAACAACAAGTAGATTTGAAATACATCAACACTACTAAATATCTAAAAATATCATCTTCCATGCATACCCACCATTAATGTTACCCAATGGTTTAAAACAAAATGTAAGTAAAAACAACATTACCACACTTACCTCCAAAAATTGAAGGGAGCAAACTGCAAAAATACATATTAATTCCTCTCCTATTCACACAGCAGTTACTAGATGACTAGTAAGTCTATGATTACAAATAGTAAAATGGTTGCATACAATTGTTATTTTGTTTAGTTCTTCACCAAGTAATCAACAGTGAAGTAGAGGGCTTATCTCAAAGTGCACTATTAGGGGGAATTAAAAAATAGTCAGAGTTTTGGAAAGGAAGTGACAAGTAATGAAATCTCAAACACGAAGGCTTCATTGTGGTCACAATATAACATCCTGTAGTGTTTCACACATCAAGCTTTAAAAATGATGAGCTCAGCTCAGGTAGATACTGTACACCGAGACTGACGTAATACTTTGACAAGGTTTAGGTGGAAAATAAACTAAATTTTCATGAATCATAACAGACTAATTAAATATTACGGAGATAATAAAAATAATAGTCAGAGCTCAAAATAAGAATGGATTAAAACTCCAACCATTTTATGGGTAGGTAGGTAATGACAAATAAATTTATCTATTACCACATGATACTCGAGTCAAGGTGGTTCCTATGGTAAAAAGAGGTTTCTATCTGGAATTGATTTGGGTGATAGTTTCGAACAGGAAATCTGTGCTGGATCATCTGCTTTTCCTGCCTATTTTCACTTTCTTTTTAATTCCAAAGAAATTCATCTGAGAGTGAAATTATGTATCAACAATTCTGATAATATTCTGATAAGGCATCTCATACAGAGTCTGATCATATTCTGATCTACAAGAATGTTTCCAACAGCCAATATACAATGACATTCCTGAACACTGGGAGTTTAATACAGCAAACATTTTTCTTAACATTCCTGTAAGTTTAATCTTTCCCTATTATCTCACAAAACCACTCCCTCTTTCTACTTTCAAGTACTCATTCATTTCCTCTGAGTGAGTTGAACCCTTTAAGTGCTGTAGACAGAAATACCATGTACAAATTCAATGGCACATTGGGACATACGGCAAGGAGGGAGTTAAGCATCCACGGTCTTTCACCCAGTACATGGTTGCACACAGGATGCTAGGGAGGGAAACACTCAGGGATGGAGACAATACATCCAATGCTTCCCTGAGACAAAAGGTTAGATCTGTCCAAACGATTAACTTTCAAGGCACGTCAAACATTCTGCATCAAAACATTAGTATGTCTTACAATGCCCTTATCTATAGGCCTCCATGTTCTGAGTTAATATTGTTACCATATGTTCTGAAGCTGAACTGAGACATTTGGTATCCGGAATATAAAACAGCTATTAATTGTAGCATATCTGACTATCTGAACATATAGTACGGATAGTGCCAAGGAAGAAATTACATAAACTACAAAATATATTTAATGTTCAGGGGCAGTGTTCTACCATACTTGAAGCTACCTGTGTCTAAAATATTACTACAATCTTAAGATTATATCTACTTCATAAGCACAAGGAAGAACAATACCTTTTCTATTATATAGTTATAATTTTGTCACAATGATTTACTGTGGCTGTTGACCATGTCATGAGTGAAAATCCCTTTCATTTAAACAAAATGTCATAAATGAAATGAATGGCTCAATTTTTTTTTTTTTTAATTTTTTTTTTTTTTTTTTTTTTTTTTGGGGGGGGGGGTTCATTTATATGTTTATTCCTCTCAATTTATTCATCACTTGACCAAATAGAAAATAGTTTTATCCCTGAATACTGGTCAACCATACTTCCGCAGCCATCAGGCACCCACATGAATTAGTATTGGAATAACATGAACAGAAGGTCTGGTTCCATCACAGTGAGAGTCTCACGTCATATCGCCCTATTTATGTCGCACCTACATGTACACGCCATTTCCCCCCACGCTATATCATACTTAATGCCCCATGCTATATCACCCTTCGCCCACACTCTAATATACATACACTTTCTAACCTTCTCTGTATGTGTATATCATACTTAACCCACCCTATTCATATTTAGCCCCTATATGACCTTATGTAAAGGTGCTTCATGGAATGAATAATAGAGAAGATTATAATAATTATTTAAAAGTGCAATATGACAGAAGGATGACCCCATATGCATCAAGACAGCCAGTGTCATGGTTGGTTGAAATTACCTCCTGAAAAAAGTTTGTACTTGAAAGCTTGTTATACTGAGTAGTTATTAGGCTCGGGGTGCGAGGGTCATTTGCCCCAATTATGGGATTATCTCAGTATCCTACTTTTACAGACTATGCATTTGATCCCCCCCCCTCTTTCTCCCCCCTACCCTCCCCCACTTAAAGACTGATGAACTCAATGGACCTATGCAATGCACTTTTTGTTTTTTTTGCTTCAGCAATTAGAAATCTCTTTATATACAACGATCAATACCACAATAATAGTTAATAATGCCTTTATACTTTAGACTATAAATATCAATTCATTAAAACATAATTGATGTTTCATGAAATGTTTACTTGGGCGTTAAGCTGATAGCATATTAATTGCTTTCCTAAATCAAATGCACATTCTCCAAATCCCTAGCTCTTCAAATCTAAAACTGTAACCAGTGTCAGATATCATGGCACTGACCAATGATACAAACGTGACGCTATGTCAGGCACAGATTATACATGTAAATCTTCATTCACAAACAATTGAATCTGCTCCAAATCTGCTCCAATTGCGGTGGGTGAGGCGAGTATAAATACCGAGAGGATTTTCTAATTCTCGTCTCCGTAATCCTTTCAGCGCTTTCCAAATCGGTTAAATCCCCTGTCAAGTTACATTTGAATCTTTGCCAGACTCTTGAAAGGTTATATATAGCGTTGATGTTACTTTTGGGGATCCCATTAATAGAATATCCATTTTTTGTCTTTTAAATAAAAACAAATCTTTACTTTACATATACAGGCACTTGCACACAGAACACTTTACCGACATATAATAAGATTTTTTTTCCTTCCAACTTTCAGTCTATAAGAGAAAATAAGAAATTTATGTGCTCCTTACAAGGAAAATTGTCACTTTACTACAAAATGAGCAATTCTTCTGCTCACATCCTTCAACCCACCACTATATCTAAAATGATCTTAATTACCTTAAAGTAAAGTCCACGCTAGACTGGTGAATTTAGGGAGAAAAGAGAAACATTTTGAGAAACAATATCACAGGCTGATGTCTATCAACATCATTCTCTATCAAAAAGTTAAAACTGAACAGGAAAGTGTTGCCATGGGAACCACTTCCACAGTGGAAAGTAGAGATTTAGTGAGCCAGTCGACTGCTATACGATTGAGACTAAAGCATCTCCTGGATTTAAAGATCTGAGAGAGAGAGAGAGAGAGGAAATAGGGTGGACTGTGTCGGCAGGATACTCCCTTATACAGCCATACAGCTGCCAAGATTCATGTTCAAAATGCACACTTTGGATAAGGGAAAATTGTTGAATCACAGTTTTGAATTTTCAGCCAACACTCGGCCATTTCAAATTTATGAGGCTGATCTTGCACCATTAATGAGGGTCAACAGTGATCATTAGCTGGATAAACCAGTCAACTCTAACCTTGTATCAATGGCAAAATTTAAAAAATCAGGCATGAACAAAGCTTTCAAGTTAGTCAGTGACAACCAATTTGTCATTTTCAATATATTTATGGAGGGGGTTTATTTTTATTCTTTAAAAGCACCTGTCTTTTGTAGCAGCAAATTATTTGGTATACTGTGTACATACGATTGATGGAAGTTGAACACTGCCTAGTGTTCTAAATCAATTCATATTTTTAATAGTAATTGAGCTTTTATAAAGTGTTGATTTGATATACAATAGCATACATCATTTATAAGACCTGGCCTCTCTCTGAGGTCTACCCTACCATACCCTCATGCATCCTATGCTCCTCACCCCTCCCCCAACAATCCTTCTATAGTATACCCCTATAATTGAGATGGGCATCCCCCACAGTTTCTCTCTTCTAACATTCAATGAAAAAACAGGTGCCTGGTCCCTTACCCCTCCCCCATGTCCACTTCCCTCCTCACCCCTTATACCCCTATAATTGAGCTGAGCATCTTATCCCCCATAGTTCCTCTCCTCCCAGGCAGAGAGTAAGAAACAGGTGCGTGGTCCCTTCCCCCTCCCACATGTCCACTTCCTGCCTCGCTCATTTCCCAAATGTCATCCTGAACTTAACAGAGGATGGATCAAGTTACCTTAATCATGGAAGTCTCTATTAAAATCCAGATTTTACAGGACCCACATTTTTTTTGGTGGAATATATAGCACTTGCAAATAGATGCTTGTTTTAGAAAAAAGATTAAAGATTTTTTAAATCTTTATTTAAGAACCTGACTAAACAATGGGAAGGCTATCAACGAGGCTGAGATGTGAAAATGAAATATTGTCTTATTCATATGAAATAGAATGGCAACAATATATTAAGAGCCCCATCAAGAGGGAAAAGTGAATGAATTGTTCAGATCATGACACTTTTAGACGACAAAACAGGTCTTACAAATTTAAACATACCGGTAGGCATTCCTAAGAAAACAATTGTCCACAATCTTCTAAAAGAATGTCAACAATGACTATGAGCAAGTCTCACTTTTGAGAAAAAATATCAAACCCACAACATATCTTCAAATAGAAACATAATCATCAAATCACTATTCTTGACATTTATAAAATGACAAGACCTTAATATAGATGAAAACCGTGTTTACTGCGGAACAAACTTCTATTTTAGTTTAAGATAAGATGAAATAGAGTTTTGGGCAGTCAATAATCTCATTGATATTAAATGAGCGAGTTTGAAGAAAGATACGAACATGATATCTACCCTTCAAATTGGCCTGGTGTTGACAACATTCCGTCCGTGTCCAAACAATATGAGTGGCAATCCGCTGACCCAACGTGACCTTCAATGGAGAAATGCACGGTCTTATTCCTACAGCGACCCCGTTGGTGCGTGTGCGAAGCCTGCCTGTAAACATGACGTCAAATGGCCGATCCAAACATATCACCATACCCTCATTTTCTAAGGTCCACTGCAGGCTCTATCGTACACAGATTCTCCTTTTCCAAACTCAAAGTCAATTCCTCCTCTGTGATGGCATATTTTTTAGGACGGTAATGTGTTAATCGGTGGGTAAGTGCGTCTGTGCGTCAGCACCAACCTAACCCCCCTCGCACCCCTTCCTTGGGTGCAAAGGCCCCCTCCTCTCTCACCAGTGAGTCCTTCCATGGGAAGCTTCCTGGACGACTTCAAATCACTCTACGTCAAAGAGCCCTCTATAGCTGTCTTGGTATCAGCTAGAAATAGACCTCAGGAAGTAGTTATTACAACTAGACCATCGTTGACAATGCCTGACAGCCTGTGGAGCAGCCAACACACCTTCAGCGACTTATCAACAAATTATCTCTCCTAATAGGCAATACCTCACTGATTCTTACCGGATATTGCTCTCGAATCAGCAGATTTGAAATCAAGGTGGCACTCTGCCGTATCTCTGGCGTTCCCTAGTCAGTCCATACCCTCATTCATACAGGGGCTGAGGGGTGACTCAGGGTGGCCACTGCCCTCTCGATCCCAAACACATCTCAGACTGTCTCTCTCTGCCATCCATCCGACAAGTCTGAGAACACAACTTAAGAAATGTCAGACGATTCCTCGGGATAAGATATCTGCATTTCCGGTTCTCAGATTTCTCTCTATTTTCTCAATCTTTCCTGCTTCAGTCATCACAAATACATCTCACACAGACGGGTGTTTCCTCTGTGAATACATGGGAGTGAAAACATGGGAGTGATGGACAGCAATGTATTCCCTTTGCCACATCTAATATTCACCTTGGTATTCATATGGTCTTCCAAACTTCAAGAAAAATCAGATATCAAGAAACTAAGTCTGAACGACGTACTTCCATCAGTCTCAAACGATGCCATTTATTTTGTAATTTCAACAAGTTTTAATCAAGAATCTGATCATTCAGAGAAATTAATAATCAGTATCAATACTAATATGAATTCCCCATTACACTTTTTCAGAAAGAATCTTAATCTATGACAAAATATTCATAACTTTGGGATGGGTTTATTTCCAAAAAGATATCCTTTTAATGATTATTTGGTACTTCATAACCTCTGATCGTGTGCAAGGGAATTGTCAGCAGCAAGCATGTTTTTTAAGCCAAATCTGCATGACATCACCGACATGAAGCATGTTTGGCTGCTTATCCCATGAAAAGGATATAGATCTATTTCTAGAATAATAACACACTTTCCAGCGAACTCACTAATACAGCCCATGTTTCCAAACTCTTGATGCATCATAGCACCCAAACATGACACTGACTCATGTTTGTATTTATGTTTCACATCCAATTAACAAATTGATCCACTTATATTCACCACGCCTCAATTATATTAACGCTCTAATTATAGCTAAAATAAGAATGCCAACTATCTCCTCAGTTTCATTTTTAATCCCATGTTATGTACCCTTTCACCCAAATACATTTGTAGCATTTTCCTCTTTAAAAAAAAAGGAAAATCAAAAATGTTTGAAAGTTTTGGGATTATACTGAAAAAATGCAATGCATATTTAACTACAAGTAGTAGATTTTAAAATTGGCTGATCCATTAATCATTTAGATCAGAATTCACATGTTCCCTACACTTAATAATCTCCTACTATAATACAACATCCAAATTCCCCCTATGATGAGCATTTCAAACATAGATAAACATATCACGACAAATTATGGAGAATTTCATTAGAGTGCATGACCAACTCCAACATATAGAAGGCAACTGATATATGCCTATGATCTATTTAGTTCAACTACTAGCCTGTATTCTCCCAACCCCTTTCTCCCATACCCCCGTACCTTTATGCTTCAGGATTATTCAGACTTAGAGGGGATCAGGGGTATTTTCTTGTAATCCAACTGAAGTTTCCACTTTCGAAATAGAAAGGCAGTTGTTTCAGATTGTCTACCTCAAAATGATGAGATACCAATGAGTCTATAATCCATGAGATTTACGGTAAGAATAATCATCTGCTGCTAATACACAGGATGACTACCCAGGAATCGACTTGAAATAAAAGATAATTTGACGATAGAGAAAATCCGTATTTCTGATGAGTACATAATCTTGGAGATTAGTCTCAAGAATAGATCTTCAAGGTAGCGAAAAATTAGAGCATGACTAAGAATTCTGCATGGACACTTGTTATTTAAAAATCAGACCACAAGGTTACATGTGAGGTAACATTACTTACAGGTTTTGGATTGACGATTACAAAACAATTCAGGGTTTGGTACGATTGTAATCCATGGGATTTACTTGAATAATCTCCAAAATTAATGTTCTCTTCATGGCACTAGCAGAAACATAATTGATAGCACTAGGCTACACACAAGTTAACACATTGACTACTAAATTCCCTATATCTTTCTATGCTTGTAGGCGCACTTTCAATTACAATGTGCATCAGAATCTACAGTTTCTGATTGCTTTTTTCTAAATCTTCAGATTGCAATGAGTTTCTAATCCACAAGATTTACTCCAAGAGTCTCTCATCACCATCTGCATATTTATTTAGAGCATGAATAAGACGACTGGACATTGAATGAGAAAAAATAAAACCTCAAGGTTGGCTTTCAATGAAGTGTGATGCAGTTGCTATGGTAACACTTCCCAACTATAAAGAGGTGCTGGGTGATGGCCAAGATAGGGAATCGGGTAGCTCCTGTAATAAAGCTTATGGGAATGAGATAATTCAGGAGCCTGTGGGTTAAAATGAGTCAGTGAAAATAGTAAAGGCTTTCTTTGGATTTGACATTGCAATATCAAAGATTACATTATTTGCTCATTTTGGGGGGAAAAGTAAGAAAAATGTACCTTTTTGAGAAGTGGATGCCTTCTTGCCTTGATGATCAGAAGACTTCTTGGATGGAACAGCAATCTTTCTTGTGGGGGCTAGTTTAGAAAAGATGTGATCAAGATTACATGATGGTACATATACAAAAATTGTGTTAACATAGAATAACATCTTTAAATAAACATATAATGATGCAATGGAGTGCTACAAAATGTTTGTTTTATCGTTTTAGCGTTGAAAACCCTACGGGTGTTGACTAATTGTAATAATCTAGACAATTTTTCTTGAAAAGCTTCTTCTCTGTGAAGACTTGAAACAACCTTCCCTCATATTGAAATGTTCTATGCCAAATAGAAAAACTGTAGGAAATAGTGAGGAAAATGTAGGAAATGAACTGAAAGTAAATAAGAGCAGACTATTCAATATCCTTCATTTAGTTTATACCTGCATCTACATGAGTAGTATCTTGACTAGTCTTTGATGCAGACTTGGTAGTTCTTTCACTGGTTGTGGTGCCACTCTGTCGACTGCGTGAAGAGGTACTTGACGTAGCAGGCTTGGTGGTGGTGGTGGTGGCGGTCACATCTGAAAAGTAAACAATTACAACATATAAATATGCTGATATAAGCAATGACCCTTTATACATACCGCCATTAAATTAAATTTGAATTATGTGCCAAGTTAAAGAATTTGCCTGCTCTTTTGAAACCAAATGTAGTTTTCTAGCTGTATATTTATATTTATTTGTAAACATTTGTGGTGGATAAACAGAGGCTACGAGTAAATTTCTATGATTGTTTTACAAATGAATATGTATTGACAAACCAAGTTTCCTTCTCATTTCAAATTTAGCTTAAATATGTAAGAAGTAAAAAGGACAGCGAACATATATTTGTTGTCATAACTGAAATTGAATTCAACAAAGAATGAAACTTAAAAGCACACTTTCAAACCATTCAACAATCAAAGTAATAGCCACTGATTGACAAGTAATGAAAATCAAAAGTGTATTATGGTAAGTGTGAGTGAGACAGAAAGACACCACTAACTGTGCAGTTGACACAAGAGGGCAGGCTTTATTTTGACATAAAAGATTGAGTGAATATCATTTTCAGAGTGAAGTGCTATGGTAGGTGATATTTGTTGTATTCATGCTTGTGTTGTCAGTGCTTCAGTATCTTATAAGTGCTTTGTGACTTGTGCATAATTAACCAGTCTTGCTAAACTGGGACGAGAAAAGAATATTAGAGTGAGTATGAGTATGAGAGTAAAGGTGGTAGATATAGAGAAAGAATGAGAAGAGAGAGAGAGATAGAGAGAAATAGATAGAAAAGATATACATAGAGATAAATCAGACAGCTAGCTAACTGTCCTAACCAGGGTCAGATTCAAAGAAGATTATCAGAAGGTATACATGTAAGAGGCTAATCACAGATAAGTAAATAGCAATCTGGATTTTTGATGACTATCTAGCTCAAGTCTGACCTCTATTATGTAAAAACCAGCATCATGTGATCTGTTTCTCAGGTAATAAAACTATCAAGGTCTATACACAATGCAAATTGTACTTATTATGCACATTACAAAGGGTACAATGAAACTCAAATGTAACCCAAATAAATTGAGTACAAGAACACAAGGAAAATGTCTTCTTTCCTGGCTCAAATATCATTGAAAGGGGATGTTTATGAATAACACTATTGTTGAATAATTAATATAAAAAAAACTGAAAGTTTTTTCATGGTTCATATATTATGTTATTAATGGGAAAATGAATCCCTATGTTTCATTGTTGCAAAAACTTCAATGATTTAGTCATGACTAGAGTTAAAATATGAAGGAAAAGAAAGAAAATACAGATGGATTATAAGATAAACAAACATGTTTGTCACATACTACACAAGCGAAACTGTAAAATGACTTGGAGAAAAACAAAGAAAAATGAATTTCTACATCATGTTAAACATACAAATTCAAATAAATTGTAAATGACATTTAACAAGGGATTAACAATTCAAATTGAAAGTGAAATACAGCTTGTATTGAAACCAATTACCCACACATACATCAAAACTCCATGCAAATATGAAAACCTTAATGTAATGATGTCTGCCTGAATTCCCATGGGGTTAACTATCAGAACTTTTGTGATAATGTATAAATAGACAACAAGCAAAATGAAAAATTGTCTTATATTTCATGAGATTTTCTTTCCCTGTCCGATTCTATTTAGTGAAAAGAAAGGTTCACATTTCTAGTAAGTTGTATTCGACAGGATATTTCTGATTTTTAATAGAAATCTGCTGATGAACATTACTTTTGAAGACGAGATTTTAATTATTACAATAATAAGAAAAGTTTTCTAGATCTGTCAGCATATATCATCTATTTGGAGCCAGAGAGGCATTAATTATACACACAGAGTTTAATGCCCTTCTGGTTTCAAACAAAAGATATATGCTGAGAAGGGAAAAAATAATTTAGTACTTCAAATGAGACTTTCAAAATTCCAAACATAACATTTCTGTTCTGAAAGATAAGTCTACCTCATTTTCACTTATAAAGGGCCTGTAATTCATTTAGATGTCCCCATGAGAAAAATTGTATACAATTATAAAATGTTACCACCAATTAGTATTCCGACAGGCACATAGACATCATGCACAATCACAAACAAGACATGTCACATTATGAAAAACAACAGTCACAAATAACTACAGGCAAATGAATGAATGGGACCACAGATTAATCTACTGGATACTATAAATACTCACTTCTACCGGACGAGTTGGAACCGACTGTTGCGCGATTGCGTCGAGCATTTCTCGCTACAGATGGGAGATGCCGATAACAAAAAGCATGAAGGTATGAATATATATGAACATGGATGCAAAATGAAGGAGAAAGGGGTGGAGTGTGGATAGAAAGAGTGTGAGATTGTAGTGGAATAGTGAAAGAGTAATGTGAGAAAATTGCATAGTCAATTATGTCAATGTGAAGAAGAAAAAAAGGGGGCAGTGATTGGTTCATTGGAAAGATGAGTGTTTAAAAACGAGGGTAAATTTGAAGTCAGATCAAAATTTGTTCAAGAAAGAGAGGGGGAAGAAATGATAGAAATATAGGAGATAGGAAAGGAAATGAATGAAAAGGAAATAAATGAAAAGGAAAGGGAAATGGCAGATGGTATGTTTATAGTATGGGTTTGCATGCAACCATGGAATGGAGTATGATAAAGAACAAAGAAGAAAGTTGTACAAGGTTAGAGGTTAATAATCATGCAAGTTTCCATTGTTAAAACAAGTGACATAGTTGAGACCAAGACCTCGGATCCAAAGACAGGAACCAGGGTAAAAACTTTTGGATACATTCATTCTAAATACATGTACATATACATGTCAGCGTATACACCTAGACCGAGGTATGAATAACACAAGAATGGTCTCAACTATATCACTGTTTCTAACTACATTGTACAAGGTTAATAATGCTTCTTCCATGCTTGATATTGTAATTTCACTGTGTGCCTAGCTGAAGGGCACTGCAGGGAAATTTCAAAGACATTTAAATATTATCAATGTCCCTGCTAATCCCCATTGCCAAGCATGTAACAAATTCATTTCATATATGAAATGGGAGGAGATTTTGAGCAAGTTGCCAAATGCAGTATCAAATTCTGATTCTTTTTTTTTATTTATTCAGTGAAATAAAGGCCAAATCAACAACTACATCTTTTTCAAAACTGATTTCTTACATTCATTCTCAAAATAGGCAAACAATATCTATTTTTCATTGTGATTATGTAGCATATATAAGAGAAGCCCTATCATACTCAAATTGGTTCTGCCTGGTTCTTAATTTGTTATGCACTATCAAACTCTATCCTGCTGTGCTAACCATTAAGCAATGGTAGCTTTCATCATCTACCCATAATGCATTGGGTTTTGAAACGCAGTATCATCCCTAATGGGTTTGATGGCCACTCAAAGTGATCAGAGATAAATATCAGAAGGAACACTTGATCACGTATTCAGGTTCGCTATTTGCATTAGTATTGCAATATCTACAGAGTATACACTATCAAAAGGATGGCAATACGGAATTCTGAATTTCAGATACTCTTTGCTGATAATCATTCAGCAGAATTGTAGTAAAGCTAAATGATTTTTTAAAAGCTAAAAACTGATAATCTATACCAAATGGAGAAATAATTGCTCAAAATCTGCTCCTCATTTCTTAACTTGAACGTACATGTAGTACCACCGCCACCCAATGAACGTTCCCAGATGAATACATTTTAAAACATCGTGCTATTCCTGCATACTTTCATTATCTCCCACTTGATAATCTTACTTTTTGTTACATACAGATGAGAAAAAGGCATTTATAAGTAACACAATCTGCACTGTGTTGTTTATAACCCAAATACTTCCACCAAAGAAAATTGCTTAATACTCTCAATCATGCATTGTAAAATTTCATGTAATTTGGAGAAAACATATATTTTTCATTCATATCTTGTCACTACATGTGTAGCATCTTGAATCGTGGAACAGCTTCTGTGTTATTTTTTTACAGCGTGCGAGGCTTAAATATGAAATACATGTACATACTCTTCTTTCCTTTTCTCTTCATAAAATCAGATTAATTCGCAACTAATACATTAAGAGGAAGCATTAATTAGGATTGATCAAATGAACAAGACCGAAAGGCTTTTATTCTAAACCCAAACCATTCAGATTACAATCTACTCTTCATTTCAATCCAATCTGTACATCTTCCCTTTCACTGTAGAGAAACCCAAGGTTACAACGCAAGCCTACTACTGCTAATAAAACATGCAGACAGAAAGGCCAAAAATAGAACAAATTTTCCATTAGCCAACATGAACCAATAGCCAGTTGGAGGCTTAATTGAGACTCGTCTACAATTTCACAATTACAAGCCACAGTATGGATCTATTTCCCCCAACAAATTTAAAGGAGAAGTATTGAATTTAGGAGCACTAAACCAATAGTATCCTCATGTACACATACAGTGTGGCATGTCAGTTGGATTATTTTTGAGCAACTTAGAGAATATTATAGTTATATAACTGCATTATATTCCCTTAACGATTCATCAGATTAATCTTGTAACCTTTGCAGCTTAAACTGGATATTGGTTATACACCATATATTTTAACTGAATTTATGCATATTTTTAAGAACTAATGTCTTCCTTGTTTTCTTTTTTCTATATTTCAAAAGCAAATACAATTTGAAATAACCCCCTCCCCTCACTAAAACAAAACCACTTCATTTTGTGTCTAATTACTTAACATTAATCAAAATGATGTCTGAATAGTCCAACTAATGTAAGCTTATTTCTACAACATCCATGAATTACTGTCCTAACTTGTTACAAGACCCTGCTAATAACAAGAAAAAGTTGACAATAAAAACATCTAAATACAATATATAGGATATCCACATTTACTTCACTCTACACGTATCTATCAAGTTTCAAACCTACACATGCCTTACGAGTATGATATACATGTATTAAATTCAATTGAATTAATATTTGTCAAATATTTGTTATTGCTGACAATACTGCTCTATCACATAGAATCCCCTGCAATATTGTATTTATTGGCCTTCCTCATTTCCTGTAGATAAAAGGTTTCTAACAAATTATCTGGCTTTCATTATTTTTTTAATCTATATTTGTGTTTCTTTGATTTGTCAATTAATCCTTTATTTTGGATAAGGAGCATCATTTTGAAGTTTATCAATATGTTGGTAGTTCTCACAGATGTAAGGAATCTGTTGGGAGTGCAGTACAGTGCTGTTATGAATGCCAAATCTTCAAGTTCAAAGCAAAAAGCAAACTTAACAGCAATTTGCTAACAGGTGCAAGCATGCATGATACTGCACTACCCTAAACTCCACCTACATATATGTGAACTGACCTTATTTCAAATAAATGGTGTAAGAACATGAGAAAGGCCAGCATAAATTAAAATGACAGCAAGTCCATCCACATATGAATGATATCTTGAAATATCTTAGTGCATGCAAACTTATCACATTAAGCAGAGGATCAATAAAGGCATACTTAGTTTCTCACCTTCTCTGGAACTATTGGAGCTTGGTCTAGAGGAGATGGAGTTCCTGGACTCAGTTCTCTGTGAGTGGTCCGACGCCATGCTGGAGGAGCTAGGCTTACGCTCATGTCTCTTGGTTTCAGAGGAGTTCCTCGAGGACAATGCTGTCTTCTTGTTAGGTTTGCCTGGACAGTATCAAGACAACATGGCCAATCATTTAAAAAAATTCACAAGAATTATTCTGTCCATTATATACTAGAGGAGATATGATTTTATCGGAGAGAGTGTTTGTGTAAGAAACAGTAGTGTACTTAAAGTAGTGTACCTGAGAAAGGAAGAAAAACTTTACTCTTTGCTCTGCATAAAGAGTGTGTCTATTAGCTCCATGTCCCGTGGGACACCTCTGTTGACAATCTATAACACCTGTCATTCATTCTAAGTAACTGTGTAAAGATGTCCTTCTGATTACTTTACAGCTCTTACAATGTAAGAGTTCAAATAGTTTACTTTGGACCATCAAAGAGGTTGAAAAAAATGAGAATAGATTGTGTCTTCAGAGTAACTGTCAGAAGAACAGAGGACTCTTTCTACGAATTATGGTTCAACGCCTTAAAATATATATAGATAGTTCTACATACATGTAGTCAATTAAAAAAGGAGAAAAGCATGATTTTCAAAACTGAAAACAAAAAGGATTACATGAGAAGATTTAATAGATTAATTTCACTCACCATTCTGAGCATTCTTTGAGCTCAACTTTGACGTTGTACTGCTAGCAGTGACCTCTGACCTCATACTCCGATTAGATGAAGTGATGCTTCCAGGATCCACCTCCATTGATGAGGTGCTCTCTGCTCTCCTGCTCTCCTTGATGTCCAAGATGGGCTGTAGCTTTTGGACCAGGTGAGCAGCATCAGCTGAGTATCGCCCTGGGTGGTTCTTGTCGTTCAACCGACCTGCCTGTCGGTTCTCTGCAGATCTCCTCCTAGGAATGACACCAGTCTTAGTAGATCCATTACTCTCGTTCCTCCAGGATGATGGCGTATAGCTCTTCTTGTTGTCCTTCTCACCTTGGGTCTGAGCAGGTGGAGGTTTGGCCGTGTTGGACGTCGTTGGTGCTCCGGTCTTTGGTCTACTTAACGTGACTTGGAAATGGCTGGAGTGCGAAGTGATATTCTTGGAGACCTTCTTCGGAGTAAGCAGCAAAGATTTTCTCTTGGCAACACCATTTGGTTTTTCATCATCTTTCTTCTCCTCTTCTTTAGAGTGCTGACTGGGACTCTTCATCCCACTCCTGACATCATTTGTGAGAGCAGATTCAGTATGGGACATGAGACACATACCAACCTCCATGACAGCTTGTAACTCTCCATTAGGTTGGCCACTATGTGTCTTCGTATCCCTTCTATCTGTAGCTCTGTCGCTCTCTGTTCTGCTGCACTCTGATTCCACGCTCTTATTCTCCTCCAGGTCAGCCATGTTGGCTTCTACTGCCATCTCATCCATTCTGAACTTGAGGTCCTCCTCAGTATCCATCATAATACGCTCTAACTTGCTGTGTTGCACTTCACTCGCAGTGGCAGGAAAGCAAGTCTTTTGAGGCATTGATATCACTATTCTTCCGCTCGTTGTTCCCTTATGCTGGGATACCTCCACATCGGTTCCAGATGAAACAACAACGGCACCAAATTTATCAGTCTCTGGAATGGCTGCCTGTACATCACAGGTCTTTAAATGATGAGTTCCTTCCAGGAGATCCAGAGGGGACAGTGGCACCTGACTGTTGTTGTTGCTCTCAAAGACCATGCCAATCTTGACCTCTTGACCATCCCCTTCTTGGCGTTTCTCAGCACACTTTTGAACGACAAAAGAAGAGGACGTGGGTGTTTCCACATCCTCCTGCTCCAGAAGGTCCACATCCACATCATACGTGGTATTGTGAGGATCTACCTCCATTTCAAAGTCCTCAGAGAGGTCTACACCATCGTCCATACTAGAAGGGTTGTCCACAAGAGTTGTATCATTGGCATCACTTAGAGTACTCTGTGATAACACAAGCTCCCCATACTTCTCCATGCACACAGTATGTCCATCAGATGTTGGTGTTGGTAAGACAGAGGGGTACTCTCTTGGTTTACCATTTACATCTGTAGTAAATACCCCTTGCGGATAGCAATCTACTTCCATTCCATTTGAAGCTATTCCTAGTGGTGTGGTGGCCCCGCTATCCACTGGTGGTGTTCCAATGCCCTCATATTTCTCCTTGAGCTCTGGATCCATAGCAGCAGTCAAGGGAACTGAGAAAAGGGCGTTACTCGACTCCCTTAAAAACTCGTCTTCAACAGTTGTAATAGGTTCCCAAATCCTTGGCTTCACATCAGAGAATTGAGGCTCAAAGTCTATTGCATCCTGTAATTCCTCAGGCAAGAGATTATATTCGTTCAAAGCTTGTTCAAGTTCTTCAGGTGTTAAAAGATCAAATTTGTATCGACCCGTTGGCGTATCTAAGTATGTTGGAATTGCCAAAAATTCATTGTACTCCACTTCCTCATCTTCAGTATCGCTAGACAGACTATCCACGGTGAATGCAGGAGCAGTAGCTCCGATACCTAGAGGATAAATCCTAGGTTCTTCTGGTATAGAAGTTCTGATATCTGAACCTACTTGGAGATGGATTTGCACTGGAGTTGATGATTGAGGAACTTCAAAATCCCACGCTAAACTAGAATCTGATTTTTCGCGACCAGAGGAACTATCTTCAAGCGGACTGAGCGAATGCGAGTCGTCCCAGCCAAGGCTTCCTGAACAAGATTCCTGGAAAAATGATGAAACCTCCTTGTCCAACTCAAAGGTCTCGTTCAATTTAGAGTAACAACCTTCAACAAGGTCTGGCTTGTCTTGTCTATTTTCATCTGTTTCTCCTTCTTCAAACGTCCTTGTTAAGTCATTCAGACTTGGGCGGGAGTTGAGTTTACTATTCACATTTTTATTGCGCGCAAGTTTCCGTTGAAGAAGAGTCTTGCTACTAGTTTCGGTACTACTACTCCTACAAGCTTTGTCCTTCGGTGATGTCACCCTCGCATACTGTCGTTTATTGTCACTCACAGTGAAAGTAGTATTATGATTTGGTTTTAGTTTGTTAACCTGAGTATCTGTAGTCCTCTTGCCTTTAGTTCTATTTTCACCTGTCCACCCAGAATGGGTAATACTGGTATGTACAGGACTAATTTTCTTGGATTGAAACAGCTTGCTGGATGTTGAGGACTTCTCTGAAGAAGTATCGCTCCTTCCGCAATCAATGTTCTTACCGCTTTTCTTATTCGACTTCAGCTTGGAAATGGAGTCTTTGCACACAGGTAATGTCTTTGGTCTTGGGAGTTTTCCACCAGCTAAACCTAACGTGGGTATTCTACTGCTTGGTTTAGAGTCTTTGCTATCTCTACTGCATATACTAGTACTGGAATTGTGTGAAAGAGTTGATGTTGGGCTTGAAGGCGAAGGGGGAGGTAGATTGTGGACCTTGTGTGCTGGAACAAACACCCCGTATCTTTGAGGACATTCAAAGTAATGAATCCCGTCAACGGAACCGTTGTGTTTGCCGATGGGATCGTCAAGCTCGATGCCACACATGCATCCCTGGGCAAAGTGTGTCTTGCCCTTGAAGTGCAGGAGACCTACCCGTCCGTCTGTGGTCTCAACACGCTGTCCAACTGCCAGATGGCGGAATGGTACGTTAGGAGTGGATGGTACGAGGTGCGGTGGTTTGATGTCGGTGTTACGGAGTGGGTAGTGTGTCTTGGGTCCAGGTAGGAGAGACCTCCTTGGCTGCAATATGGGCAGTCTGGACTCTACCTGAGTAGACTGAAAGAAACAAATAGAAGAAAAAAACAGAAATAATAATTAAATTGTTCACCATTATTTTACATCTTAGTCACATACTTTGATATTTGAATCAGAATAGTAAATATAATGCAGAAAACAAAGTTCACTTTCATCTTTTTATTTTTCTTTAATGTCATCTCTACTAGTCATCTCATCTATGAGATCGCTTAAGTTCATATTTCAAAGTTCTAATGAAATGGGGAAAGCATTCAGAGCCCAATTAAGAATAATCCTGTTCATTATCCATTCAAATCACTTTAAAAATGATGCCTTAAGACTTTGAATGGGTTCACAGGTGATGCTTATAATCATACTTAATAGAGAGCACACTAAAGTACTAATGACACCACTAACTTCAAATAACCTCATAGATCCTCTACATCCATTCCCAATACAACATTCTATTCACGTCTCATCATTTGCCAAGCAATATAAATATTGATACTGTGATGAGCCGAGCTCTAAAATTTATTAATTTATTGCTTCCGTGCTCAGAAGCCTTATTGATATTCAGTTATCACCCCTGGCACCTCTATATGCTTGCATAAGAACCTCGGTAAGTATCATAACTATTGAAAAACAACCGACCCCCTGCAGCCTTGCATATAAATATCAAGATCCTGATCTGATAACGTGTGAAGTGTGCTACATTATCACGAACGTGCCTCGAAAGGCAAATATTTACGATGGAACTTAGCGCAATGAGAACAGATTAATTAGGTTACATGCTTTGGGGAGGAGCAGGCTAAGGTATATATTGGATGATGAGGTAAGCTTCTTCCTTATTAACATGCAGATGGATATAGAAGTATTCCACGCAGGAATGCTCTTCCGAAGAGAAAATGGAAGCTTAGATTGATGGAGGTGGGCAGATTGAAATGCCTAATTGATTCTGTCTTGAATAATTCATCTCTTTAGGGGAGAGGGGAGATGAAAAGATTTCAAGTCTTAGCTTAGGATAATCTTATTGTAATTCAAACGCTGCACTATGAATAATCTTTCTGGAAATTGTTTTTAATGTAGGCACAATCATTATATCCAATATTGACAGATTAGCGACAAGTCACAATTTCTTAATTGGGTAAAGGCCAAAGGATACTTCTACATATTGAACAAAATAATGTTTTATATTTCTCCCTGTCCAGAATGGGTTTTCAAAGTAAAAAAAAAAAAGAGATTGATATGAATGTACCTCATATCAATATCGTAGGTATAGTGGATTACTTTAAGTTTACCTTTAGTATGGTACAATAATCGTCATATCATAACACAAAGAAATTATCCATATCAAAAAGATTCTATCATTTTCTTTCCTTTTAAGAATTTGTATACACACCACACATACAAAAGGATTTGCAAACTCATTTCCATAACAGAAACAGAGTCAATACTCGTCATTCCCTCTTACCTTGACCATACATCTTTCATCAAATTACTTTCCAGTAAGTAAGATAATTGCCCTTTTCCAAGGCTAAGTGATCCTAAAAATACTAACAGTCCAAATTTAAAAACTTGGTCATTCTACTTTAATAGCGAGGTGACCCCACGGCATAGGCATTCGAGCGAGTACTGTTAGAGTACACCAAGCATTGCCAAGTACAGACACATAAAGTGTCATAGTTAGAAGTATAAATCAGTATTGAGGGGCTATTGTAAATCAACAGATCAAGACAAGATGGCAGTGTTATAGTCACAGAGTCTAGGAGCATGACTAAATGATGTAAACATGATAACATACCAAGGAACCAAGCTCAGACCAATATGATGTAGCACCATGGGTCATTAAAATGATATGTTTACATCAATAGGTTTACAATCAACTCCTTGCTGAAACATCTCTTGATTTGAGTGATATTTTTTTTTCTCTTTGCAAAATGTGAAGGTAGGAAATGCAGATCAACTAGCATAAACAAAATAGAGCAAGCACTGGCATATTACGGTTGAGGCAGAGATGTTCAGCTCTCTGTCTCCCTCTCTCTCTCTCTCTCTCTCGTCTGCAAGCTGGCAAGGCAAGCATTAGAAGGTGAATGATCTATTTTGGTAAAAATGAAATGATCCGTTCAAAAAAAATTATCTTGACATTTCAGCAACGGCCATTAGGAGTCAACAGTGAACAACAGTGCCCCTTTAGCTTTGGTTCAATAGCCAAATAATTGGATGTTTTTATAAACTATACAGCCATCTTATAATCTCGCATACCGGTAATCTTAATATGGACTCTGCACACTAACATTTGAATGTACTCAGAAACAAATATATCTTTGATATACTAATGACAATCATTATGCTTAATTTAGATCTTGGAAGTTGCAAGGATACAATGTATGTCTTCTTTCTAACCAACCATCACCCATCACTGGCCTCTTCCCAAATGAGCATGTTTACAAAATATATAGCCTTCATATACATCTATGTTCGTGTCAAATCATATTTTGGTCGAAAACAAAACAATTTTACAAAGTTGCAACCTAGGCCTACATGCTCTCTCTACATATCTACTTCAGAAAATTATTTTAAAACTCTACCCTACTCTACTGTGTCATCCTGAAAACTAACTTGAAAGATAATCCATCTAAAAGTAATATCCTAACTTTGCTATTTTTAAAAACATGTTGGGTAGAAAACTGACCAGCGAGCCAAAAATGGCAATGAGTGGCAATCAAAATTAAATCTTACAGCCATATCGTCGCTGTTTTCACGAAGTGACGGTAGTGAAAAAAAAATTGCATTCACTTTGCGTTACGATTTTCCTCACTACCGTCACTTCGTGAAAACAAGGACATTATATGGGTTCATATCCTTGGGTACAGGCAGAACATTATCCTATAGCACGAGAGGCTTGGACTGATGCCTATCGCTCTGGTCAATGCTTTTTCCTATCACCATGACAACCGCATCCGGTGAAAAAGGAACTTGAGCAACTTTCCAAATATAGATCTACACTGCATTTCTGACCCACGCATTCATCTCCTAAATATAGTTACAGAAAGTTAGACCGCTTTAATTAAAATTCAAGTACTTGTGTACGTGGGCAAGAAAAAATAAACGATCGCATGGCGAAGTAAATAGTTAAGTATGGGGGTAGCTGTGATTGTAATGAAATATATTAAGATTATTTTTCTTTCAATTTGGCACATTATCTCACTGGTTATGAGCAAATTTTTTTCAAAGGAATGATTGTCTGATATTGGTCACATATCATTTTTTTCCTTTTATTAAATATAGGTAGATCTATTTCATAAATATGGCAAACACCACAAGTCCACAGCTCGCGTGATAGATGATCTATGAATATTAAAGGAGGAAGGGATGATACAGGTGTCGAGTACAACAAACGATAGCGGTTTAAACCTCTTGGTATGAAGGCAATCTAGCCAGAGAGACCCATCTCTACCAGGCAGGCAGGCCTACGCTCTACTGGACATGACGGTGATCAGGTTTCATATAAACTAGGACAGGGAGCGAGGAGAACAGAAACTTGACATTTAGAGAAGAGTTCATCACCATCATAAATCAAGCGGAGTTGAATAACGTGGGAGTCTGATACCTAATACAGCATATGGTCAATGGGCAATAGAATTCAGAGTTGGAGAGAGAGAGAGAGAGAGATAAGGAGGATATTTGCACATACTTGCGGAGTTAAATAGCACCTATAAATATTCCATACAAAGCTATAAAAGTATATATATATATATGTAATTATGTAGGTCTATTGCCTTATGTACCAAGAGATTTTAATTTGAGCTTGTGAGTACCATGTTTAGTCTAAAATACTCTCAATGTATTTTAATTATAAGAATTATGCAAGAAAATTAAAGTGAAAATTAAAAAAATGTATATTGCTATTGATATATCTCATGCCTTGTAATGAAAAGACAAACAATGAATATGTATAGACTCTCTGAAGCTCTGGGAAAACTTCTTTTATATCAACTTACCCATCATACATTTGGCATAGAATTATAATGGTTTGCTGTTTTTTACTCCCACATAATCCATTTAAAACGATTGGACTTATTCCTTGGAAACGTACTTGGCAAATAACCAGATCAAACTATTAATAAACCACATCAGAATTCCAAAGAAACACTCTGCCAAACAAACAGATAATATAATTTTTGGAAACAAATATTGGAAGCCTGCTCAGTGATACATCTCATCAGAGTTATAATCCAGATAATACAATATCAACTGTAGGATGAGATGAAGATGAGATAAAGTTACACCAACATTCTGAGAGGACGATGATGTTGGTACAGCGAGATGATGATGATGTATGTTTAGTTTAGGGGAATGATAGTACCGACAGAGAGAGGATGATACTATCTGACGAAGAGGATTTGTAAGAACAGACAGATCACTGTTCATGCCGACATGTTTTGGAATGTTTTGGTTTGTTTGAACTGCAAAACGTGGAGTAAAGCAAGTTTGGGGAACGAAAGGTTTGAGGTACTTTGGTACATGTAGATTGTGTCATTATATCAAATGTATACAATTCTGGCAAGAGCCTATACATGTAAACTGGCATCCCACATAATTGATGTGTAGTTCTTAAGGTCTATTCTACAGTGAATTTATAATTCTATAATAATTTGAATTTCCCTTCTCTCCTCTGTAAGCAAAAAGTAAGATTGTCCATCTCTCTCACTCTTATCTCTTTCCCCATAGTAGACAGAGAAAAGCTGTATGTACTGGTATGTTTCAATTCCCAATACCTCCCGCTCTCCTCCGGTTTGTTGATTGTTACGTAGTGGGTTTTTTGACAGCTCCCAGAGGCTGATGGGTAAGCACTCGTCAAATCACATTACCCAAGAAGTAGAACACACCCGTTCCCTCGGTCAACACAAAACTGGCTTTCATTTGAGCTTAACAACAGCACGCGTCCAATGGCTTTACCAGCTGCTATAGCCTTGCTAAGGAGACCTAGAACATCACGCTCAAAACCAACATCTAAACAACGACGGCACATGTATATGTTT